AATTTGAAATTACTGCTAAAAAAACAAAAACACCCAACTGATCATCTCTGTGAGATGCTAGGGAATCAAGTCATTAGCTGGAAATAATTAAAGGGAAAGACGGGGGCATCGAGTCTCCACCTTCTATAGGAACTGTGCCGTGCATCCAAATTGTAAATAAGGGGACGCTTCTCCATAGGGAAGTAGGTTAGCTAATACATGAAGGAGAGCTGATAGAACAAGAGCGGCAGCCATTCGCAGGCCTCGATGTGCTGATTGGTCTAAGCGCTGGGTACCGAAGGGTGTGAACAAAGAGCTCAAGAGACGGGCAGACAGCACATGCCTCCCGATGAACAGCACCTGTGAGCCTTGCCCAGAAGATCAAACCTCAGTCTGATCACGCTCCTCGGCTCCAGTATGATGTACAGGGAATTCTAGGACAGAGCAGCCTATTAAACTATTACATTAACAATTCCAGACTATGAGGCCAAAAAATAAAACTTGTTTCATCAGAGAATCAATTGCAAAAGGAAAGAACAAAGAACGGAAGGAAAATCTATAGATCAATTTGAAAAGTTTTAAATCGACCAACTGCTATCTGTTTATTTGGATCTTGATTCAAACACAAGAAAACTCCAGAAGCATGACATTCACGGAATTAATAGAAACATGGTCATTGACTGGATAGTTGATGACAGAAGTGACAGTAGAAAACTTATTTTAAAACTGTTTTTTCATCAACAAAACAAGTCCCCTGAGACTTTAATCTAACAACAAAGACTGAGCGCTGAGCTTCTGGTCCTGCGTGGGGCCCTGGGGGCTGAGAGGGGTCCGCACCCTCTCCACCTCGGGACCTCGCTCTGTGCGTGAAACAGGAAAAGTCCCGTGCATTTCCTGAGCAGCAGCCTTGGGGGAACTACTGAGAAACACCTGGTGTCCCCAAGCAGTGGCCGGACAGGATGGGGCTACATGGCCACACACACACCTTTCAAAGGGATACCAGGCACCCTAGGGCTGGCGTGGCTCTCTGGTTCTTATAACCAACGGGATTAGACTAAGCAGGCAGATAAGACATGAACAAAACAGGATTGCCAGGGTTGGAAGCCCTGGTTCAGGAGTGATAATGTGCATGAGAGACACTGTCAGGTGAGGAGACGTGAACCCGTGCTTCAGTCTCATCGCCGCCCTGTCCGCTCAGGTTAGAATGCGGAGGCCACTCCCAGCTCTCCGATGCCCATGATGTGGGACTTCAGGCAGGTGGTGCCACATGGCTAGGTCTGTCCCCTCACCTGTGATATGAAGAGGGGAATGGCAGGTGCCTGGCTGGGCTGCTGGGAGGATCGAATGAGGAGGAAGGTGGGCCCCCTGCCGGAACACGGCCGAACCAGCTGCCGTTATTACCGCTCCTTCAGCAGCTTTTGTCTCTGTTCTCAGGACACTGCTCCCTGGAAGGTGGGAAGCAAGCAAGCAAACCTCTGCCAGGACACTTGAGTGTCTTAGTGTACAGAAGCGAGGGCAGCGACCCAGTCTCAGCTGAACGTGCACACGGAAGGCACCCATGCAAGGACTCTGGGGAGGGAAGTCAAAATCTGGGTGGGGGAGGATTTTTATGACATCGAATGGTCAAAGGCATCATTACCCATATTGCCATAGTGTAATCCTCCCAACACCCAGGGCTGCCACAGAAATCACTGGCCCTGGAAGCCAGTGGTCAGAGAAGCCCTGGGGTCCACGGCTATCAGTGGGCACCTTGCCCTGGCAGACCTCAAGCTCCTGGCTCATTAGCACTTTGATCTGCCCTCAGGCCTAAGTGGAACCATTTTTAAGCATTTCAAACTTTGTTAAATGAAGATCAGAAGCAACCACAAGATTAAAGGGAATTTTTTTTTGTTGATGTCTTAAAAGCAAGAGGCTCAAACTCCAAACAACTGCATCCCCATCCTTCCCTGTCTGATGATGGTGCACAGGTCAGCAGAGGAGGCCGGGCTCCCTCCCAGAGGGGCAGAGCTGCCCTGGAGGCCAAAGGCCCTGGAGCATAAGCCATGGAGGAGGGATGTGAAAAGCAGCTTAGAAGCTGATCGCCCTTGATGTGGGGACTTAGTGGAAATGAGCAAACCTGCTCATCTTGCTGAAGCCACAAGATGAGCTGATGCATAGGGTGAGCCCCAGTTTTGGAGGGCATGGGAAGCGACCTGCATCCGGGTCCTGGCCTGCTCATGTGACAATGGCCAAGTCACTTCTGCTTCTGAACTTCAGATGGTTTACCTGGGATGCAGTGGTGCAGCAGACAATGTCATTGCCCCTCTGGAAATTCCCTGGATCCCAGTAACCTGCAGCTCCTTGCTCAGGTGCGCGCCCAGAGCTTTCTGCTGCTGCAGGAGGATGCTTGGCCTGGGTGCATCCCTGATGGACCCACAGCCCCTGTCGTCACCACTTCTTCAGCTGCCGTTCTCAGCATACCATGAGCCCTCCATGCATATTCCCAGGCCATTAGCAGCCTGGGCCAGTGGCCAAAGACAGGATTTATGAAAATCCAATAAGGTTTCATCCACCATGGAAGCTTTTAATAAGTCAGAGTGCAGGAAAGACACTAAACAGTTGATTTACAGCCTGTTGGCTGGAGCCAGCCAATTACTGTGCACGTGGAGTCACTTAGGCAGGAGCATATTTCATGGGCAACTGTCGCTGGCCCTAAAGTGGAAAGTGGGATGACTCGCGTCCGCCTCTGCCGCCTGGCCTCCTAAGGGCTTGATGCAGTCACTCCTTAGGGAGCAGGCTGGGCCCTGTACAGACCTGCTGAGTGGTGGAGGGACCACACCCCAGCCACCGCTCTGTGGGGTCAATGACAGTAGTTTGTTAGTCTGTGGGGTTGATGCATTAATTCCTGCATGACTCAGAATCCCACCGGAAAAGGAGGATTTCTGAAACAAGAAAGTCTGAACTTCTATGTTTCTTCACTGCATCTTTTGCCATATTGCTCCTCCCAGCTACTAAAAGTCTGAGAAAATAGCCGAAGACAAAAGATAAAGTTGATGAAATGATGCGGAGGGTTTTGAACATGAGAAATTCTAGCTGAGAATTTCTTTTAAAAAAACAGACTAAAACTTGACATTCCCAAGGGGATTCCACATGTAAGATACAGCGCCACTGGGCCTTCCTACCACCTTGAAATGAGTGCCCATGCTAGGGGGTGGGAGTAGGGGTAAGGGGGGCCATTGCTGGTGGGCAGGGAGGGGGGCACGCTCGGGAGTGGGCAGGCAGAGAGGCAAGGGCCCTGGAGGATTTCAGGGAGTGAGAAGCCCAAGACCAGCTCTGGATGTAAGAGGATATTAAGAGAGTGATGTTGTGGGTAATAAATTGAATTTATTTTCAAATTCATTAGAGACAAATGAAAAATAGTATTACCTTAATTATTTTTGGTTGTGGTCTGCATTTCTTGAATACAAAATCAAGCAGAGACTGGACCATGTGCTGCTCTGGTTTATATTCAGGTTACATTTAACAGGGATCAAATTAGATTTTACTTCTGGGTCAAGAGAATAATGATAACAGCAACAGAACAGGAGTAGCTGGTATTTTGTGAGGCTTTACCAGCATTTGAAAAGGACGGGGTATTTGAGCTTCTTTTAAATCACAGTGACACAGGTGCTACGGGTGTGCTGTGTGTTCCCCAAATTCATACCTCATCTGACCTCCAGAGCGCTGGCATGGGAGATGGGGGTGCTCTGGGAGGTGACTGCATCATGGAAGTAGAGCCCTCATGGCTGCAGACAGTGCCTTTATAACAGAGACCTCGGAGCACGCGCTCCGCTTTCTGCCATGTGAGGACACAGAGACAAGCCAGCCATCATCTGTGGCCCTGAAACACAGCCATCAGGTACTGGATCTGCAAGCACCTCGGCCACGGACTCCTAGACTCCAGAACAGTGAAATACAAATTTCTGTCACTTATAATCCACTGACTCCATGGTGTTTTTGTTATATCAGCCCAAACAGAACCAGACAATATGGCTGTTAGGAGAAAAGTCAGTGCGGTTTTAGGTGCCTTCAAAATAAAGTGCTGTACGTGTGGCGGAGCAGGGAGTGCGCAGGAGGTCATGAAGCCCCGGGCGAGAACCGGCCTTCAATTCGGAAGGTTATCATTCAGCAAAGGGGGGCGAGGGGCGCTTTCTGTGGTACGAAGGGAAGAATCAGAATCAGCGAGTGGAAAATACAGGAGACCTTAATCCTACTCTCTATGGAAAGAAGTTTTTAATACATGTCAGTTCTTTATGGGAATAATTGTCTATTTCAAACCCAGATGTACCAGCTTCAAAAGTGTGGCTTCTGCTTCTAGAGGCATTTGGTCAAAGACGCTGGTGGCAGCCCTCTGGTCGGATGGGGGCCTGCAAGCCACTGCCCTGACCAGCCCTCACCTGCCACTCAAAGATTTCACAATTCCTGAAGTTTCCGCCTCTAGGGAGCCTATGAACTCACACCTAGTAGACAGATATGAACCGTTCGTCAAAAACGCCGATTTGACGTTAAGGTTTTATTTTGGAGAGTGTGTTGAGAGCCATCCTTGGCCCTCACCCATGTGCTCCCTGAAGAGTGGAAGTGGACTCACACTCCCCCGAAGGGCGTGGCAGTGCGTGGCCTCTCCCGCGTGGCCTCTCCCGCGTGGCGCTCCCTCCCCGACCACTTCACTCCACTGGCTGTGACTCAGCTTTTGCAAAGCTTGGCCAGTGAGTCATTTTTTTTTCTTCTTTTAATTTTAATAATTTTGCTCTCTGCTCTTTGAATGAGACAAGCCTTGGTCTCCCCAGAACCCTTATTCCCATCAGAAATACACTATATTTTAGTAACAAGGTCTGTGGGCAGATGTACACCCCATCTGCCCTGAGAACCCTTGGCCTACTATGAAGTTAGCTGGAAAAAGAGTGAATGTCCCTGTGGTGTGACCTGGCTGCATACTGATTGGGAGCCAGCAGGGACAGCCCCAGGGCCCCACAGTGGGGCAGGACAGGGTGAATGGCACTCACAGGGGGGCCGGCGATCCCAATGCCCGGGTCGCCATGGCTGCCAGGAGGGCCAGGGATCCCAGGTGCACCTCGCTCTCCCTAGAAAGAGAAAAAAATAAGACCAAGAGGTCAGTTCTAGGACACAGAGGGCCAGGGTGCACGAGAAACTACGTCCTGCCACTGTGTGACCACACTCCACGGACACCACTCCCATCACTTGGACCCCATGCATCCAACATGCATGACCCTCAGCCCCCAGTTGTGATGGTGCCCCAACTTCCCCCACGCTCCAGGTGTGGTCATCATAATATGACAGCTCCAGGGGACCAGAGTTCTGAGTTCCGTGCTTTCTCCAGACCTCCTCACACCTCTGTCCTGACCACACACAAGATCCGATCGCATACCCACATTTCAGCTCAGCTCCCACATCACCAGTGAACTAACTCATCAATACACCAATGGTTTGCCACTTTTCCAGAGGCTGGGGGAGTGACGGTGACTCAGACAATGACCTTTGTCATCACGCACAGGGGTCAGTATCATGTGGGTTCAGCCCTTATTAACTGTCGGCTCTAGAAATGGAGAAGCTCCGTGAGCTTCAGGTTTCCCGTTTACAAAGGGCAGGCGGGAAGGGGAGCAGCCCCACCAGCGGGCATCCTGCGCATGAGACAGGATCACGTGCAGAGAGCCTGGCGCAGAGCCTGGCACAGCGCTCAGGGCAAGTTAGCTGTGTGGCTGGTGTTACTCTCCAGGACCTTTCCTTCTGGGCTTTGATGCAAAGAGTGAAAAGGAGAAGGAAAGAGAAGTGGAGAAGAAATTCTGTTGGCCATATTCTGTAGAAGGAAGCGGAGACAGAATCCTACCTTCTGACCCACAACGTCACGTCGCCAGCCTCGGACAGGCATCCCCCGAACTCAACTGGCGGCCAGACCTGACCTGTCCGGACACGGGCTACTCGCCCTCTTTAGTTATCTGCCTGTATTCATGTTTGCACATTTCCCCTGCATCGATATTAATGAGTGTGATTAGGCATGCTGCCCCACACACCTCAGTGAATGTTAATATACAGTTTGCAAATTACTACCTTTCTAAATTCCAAAATAAGTTCAATCCAAAACACATATGGCCCCAACAATTTTGTGTAAGGAACTGTGCACCTTCATTTAGTCATCTGAAGTCAGACAAGCCTAATATGGAAATGGCGGGTGACCTCATTAGGGCTACTTGATACCTCTGGATTGAGCTAATATACATGACAAATAGAAAGAGTCTAAGAAGGTTGTTTTGGAGAGCCAATAAGATAATGTGCTACAAACTGATTTCAGGTAGAACCCAACATCGCTAGGCAATATGTTGCTTTATGAAGTTTATATTTCTATGCATTGAAGGAGAAAATCACTAATAATCAGCTTACACTTAAACCATTGTTTCAATAAGAAAACTTACATTTTGGACTTTTAAGAAAAGAAATGCTTCTAAGATGATTTGCCTTTCCTGAAATATGACATAACTTATATATTAATTCAACTCATGTTTGTAGTTTATTCTTTGGAACAGTGATCCAGGCTCCACCACCAAAGGAGGGCTCGGTCACGCGCCCGCGCCGGACACTCAGTGCTGAGTTCGGAGGAGCAGCTCGTTCACGGCACTGGGAGGAACAGGATCTGTGAAGGTCTCAAAAGAGACGAACCAAAATCCCAATCCCGCACCAGTAACGCCGCCTCTTCCCCTTGTCCCTCCAGCCCCATGGGGGCCACGCTTCCTAGGCGCCACAGCGTCTTGCAGCTTCCTCAGCCATGGTGGGGCCGCCCTCCCTTCCGTAAATCATCCCCTTCTGAAATTCCTGTCAAAGTCCCAGGAGGTGCATTCTGTTTCTTTAGAATAACATGGCATGGCTGGTTCTGGGAAGTACACGATGCTTGGAAGTGTTAGAAAATCTAATGTGTATGCATTGGGGGTGGGGGTGGGGGAGGAAGCCAAGAAATAAGGCAAATGTGGGAAAAAGTCCACTAAGTGTGGACACGAAATGTGCACAAAGTGTGAACATGATCAGGGTCGTATCTGCCCCCAGCAAATCACAACAGTGGGCGGGCGGTCAGGCAGGGACACCGCAAACTGACAGGTGACACAAGGACCAGTCTTAGGACGATGGCACCCGGTCCTGTGACCTTGGGTAAGTCCCATAACTGTCTGCTCCAAGGGCCCTCATCAGTTAGGAAAAAGAACATTCTACCAAATTACCACGTATCTTATGAAGACACATTGAAAAGGTAAGAGACCATATATACAATGATGAGTATTGCAGTTATATTACTATCATTCAATGAGCAGAATTAGAAAACAGAAAATGAACTAAGCATGCAGAGACATCAAAAAACAATCTTTTTGTATCTCAGTTTCTTTATAGAATTAACGTAGATTTCTTATTATTTTCTGTTTTAACGTGTTTCCTCCCCTCTTCCCAAGGCTGTGCTTCATGCACTGATGTGCAAACCCTCGCACTGCAGCTAACCCACCAGTTGGAGCGGTATTCTTCGGTGCTGCCTGTCAGGCCCCAGACTGGGTTCATGTCTATACATTTTTGCATCCAAAGTGCCCAGATTAGGGCCTGGCACTGGTGACTGTCTTTAATAGCAACTTCCTGAATGCCAGAACGAACGAATCCATCTCACCCCCATTTTGTCAGGTACTAAATTCTGCCCCCTGAAATCAAGTTTCTGCAGAGGAACCAGCAGGAGAGAAAGCCCTCTCCCAGCCCCGCCTGGAGCCTGCGTCGAGGACCGTCCCTGTGCGGGAGGCCAGGCCTAGCTTCATTTGTTTGTGGCCCATTGTGATGCTATATTTTCCCCAAAGCAACAACACTTGACAGCTGAATGGACTGAAACTTAGAAAATGGCCCCAGAAAAGAGCAAAAAACCTTAATGTTCTGTCAGCAAAGCAAGAAAGCTCAGGATCAAGAAAAAACAGCTTTTAAGCATAAAAAAAGATTCGAGCAGGTGGAGGAGAGCAAGGCCAGCGGAGCCCCTAAATGCGGCTCATAGAGTCAACCAGGTGAGACCAGAGGGCCGGAGAGGACCCACAGATTGACGAGTCAGTTAGCTGGAGCCCCAGAGGCCGGCAGCACCTCGGAGCGTCCGGATATCCCCCGCAGAGAAAAGTACCAAGCGCAGCCCGTGTCTTCATCGTACCGACCACGTCATGCCGCCGTAAAATCTACTTAGCCTGCAACACAGGCCCAGCTTATTCTTAAACTATTATTGAGGGCAGCTTCGACTGGGGCGTCTCTCCCTGCACACCAGGTGGAACCTCAACTGGGACGGGGAGGGTTTCTTGACTCTGAATGAGAAAGAATCCTGGAGTAGGTTGGAAGACTGTAGGAAAGGAAGGAATTCATTAAAGTGAGAGCAGCAGAGCATAGCAGCGGGCAGCTGAGAGCAAGAGAGTGGAGGTGGGCAGGGGAAGCTCCCTAAACTCCGTGTTGGCACAGGGCAGACCCCCTTGCCGACTCCTAAACCCAGGGTCACCTGGCGGCCCATGTCCGCTTGGATCTGCACAGCGTGGGGACTAGCCGCTACCACCGCGGGATCTGTGGGAGCCGCGGGGCACTGGAGGGAACGAGATCATGTTCTGGGAACTTCCCGAAGCAAAGAGAGGAGATTTCCAGGCAGGCCACCAAAGAGCAAGGCCATACAATGCGGCCCTGTCTGGGCCCCCCAGGCGGCGGGAACCTGCAGGCCCAGATCAGAGCTCTCAGCAGCCCCTCCCTACTTATCAGGAGTAAAGCGGAGACAGAGGGAAGACTTGGAAATAGAATGAAGTAGCGGAGAGACAAGGACGCTCACCACCGAAGAATAGAGAGAAAAAACGCAGTAAGTTGAGCAGAGAAGGCTTTACTGAAATGTACGCACTTGCAGGGGAGTGAGGGCAGCCTCACAGAAGACACACTAAGAGGCCAGGGATTCTGTCCTTCAAGGATTTGCAGGAATGTGACAAAAGGCCAGACTTGTAAAACGGTCCCAAGATGTCATCTCCAGTGAGAGACATTCTGTCTCCTCCCCTCCATTATCAGTCCTCCAAGTAACTGCAAATCAACACAAGAAATGTATTGATCCGGTTCCTTCCCAGGCTGGTGGCTTCTCTCTGGGAATCTATCAGTTAAGACTGGTTGTTTTAAAGTGGGTTGAGTTATTGTCTGTTTACCAAAGAATATGTTAGGAATCTTACGTCCCAATTTTCTGGTTTTTAAAATGGAACCTCAGCCTGAACCTGGAACCTGTCCTTCTCATTAGACTGCTTATATCTTGGCTTTTTTCATCAGAAGCAGGAAAAGTTAAATAACCATGATGCTTGTCTCCCGTCTCTGCCCGATCTCACTATGGGCCGTTTTTCCTTTTCTTCCAGCCCTTTAATCAAGTAACTTTGTAACCAGGACAGGAGACAGACCTCCCAAGTGTAAATAAACGTATGTGGACAAAGAATGCCGAGATCCAGGCCAACACAGTCACCCAAATAACCCTATTCCTAAGACAAACTTCAAAGAAATTATAAATCACTTGGCTACATCATGCTTTATGCTGAATCCTACCCAAAAAGGCCCTATAAAACCCAGACCCTAAACCCTTAAGCACGCCTCCCATCTGAGGTTGCCCGCACTCCCTGCTCTTCGAGGGTGTCACTCCCTCTGTCCCACTCCAGATAAGTAGGGAGGGGCTGCTGGGAGCTCTGATCTGGGCCTTCAAGTTCCTGTCACCTGGGGGGCCCGAACAGGACTGCAGCTGTACGGCTGTGCTGTTTAGTAGCCTGCCTGAAAATCTCCTTTCTTTGCCTCAGAACATAATCTCACCCCATCCGGTGCTCTGGGGCTCCCCCAAATCCCGGGGTGGTGGGGACTCAGTTCCCACACTGCAGATCCAGGTGGGCACTGGACACCAAGGGACCCTGGTTTTAGCAGTTGGCAAGGGATCTGCTCAATGCCGAGCAGGCGTTCATTGGGCTTCCCTTTCCCGGCTTTGTCTACCCTGCCCACTTGGTCTGCTCTGGCCCACTCCTCCCTTGGAGTGGATTCAAATACAGCTTTCTCTCTGCTTTGCTATTATGTCTCTGACTTTTAATTCTTTGTTGCAGCAGGGCCAAGGACTGAGAATAAACTCAACCGGTATGGAAAGGACGTGCTAAGCCATTTTCCTGCTCTCTCATTTCTGGTGATCTTGCCTTCCTTTCTTCTAAGAGACCCTGAAGTTCTTCTCAGAGATCCTTCCTCCAGGGAGCAGGGGGCTTAAATGTGAGCACCACCGACCGGACATGGGTTCGCCCCGTCGTCACAGGGCGCCTCAGATGTTCTCCTTGGGTTGGCTGTCAATGCATAAGGCCCCCAGAATCTGGGTCCTGGGTCCCGTGTTCTGCTTCTCCCACACACGCCGGCTGCCCCAGGCATGAGCAACAATCTTACATGCCCTGAAATCCAGGCACAGTTGTTTCCAACGGTTTCTTTTTTTTCCTTTGGAAAATAGGGAGTTACCATATATTTGCTCACATCACTCAAAGAACTCTCCCATTTCTTTTTGCTTTGATTATTAACAGCAAAATCACTAGCAGGGGGATGCACGTTAGCCTCCCATGACCTCAGTTAATGCAAGCTTAGGATGCTTACAGAGGCCTCCTGCCTGCTTAGGGGGAAAACTCAAGGCAAAGAAGCTCCACGTAGATACAGCAAATTATTCTGAAGGCCTCAAATCTCACCTCCTGGATATTACGGTAAACAAGCTTTTTCCATACAATTTAAAAAGAATTCACTCTGTGGGTATGTTGTTGAGATCCCAAAAACAAAGCTGCAGAATAAAAAGAAGAAAACTCTCCTCCTATTAAGTGTATGGGGGTCTGGGCCTTGGGATCAGATTTCCAGTAACAGCAGCGTACGGACCCCACAAGGGCTGCAGGCCCATCACCCGGCTGGGCTGGGCGGCGACGCGCCTCCAGGAGGCTCTCCTGGGCCTGCAGGGTGGCCCTGGCCCTGACAGGCAATGACACCGAAGGCGTGTGAGAATTTTTAAAAATTTGTTTTCATAAATATATGCAAGTGGATAAAAAGCACTGTGATCATTATATAACACATTTATGTGAGTCTGAATATGTGTGCCAAATTAAAGCAAAAGAAATTAATATTCTATGTCCTTCAATGACTAACTCACACATGTCCTTCATGAGTCAATTTTTTCACTGGATGCAGGCGCATTTCCCGTACATGCTCAGCCCTGAACACCCTTCCGTGCGCTGGCTCTCTGCACCCCTCCCTCACCTCTTCCACTTCCAGCCACTGCACACTCTGTAAAATGAGGACAGATGTCACCTCCCCTGAGAGCCTCCCCCATCCCTGGGCCCAGGCCTCCCTCCGTCCCACCTCTGCTCTGCTTCTCCTGTGCATTTATCTGTCTTCTGCTCGGCACCCTGAACTGTCAAAGGGCTGGGAACACGTCTACATCATCGTCATCCCGCAGCCCACGTCAAGATCCGACACACGGCAGAAGTGCAACGGATGTGCGATGAACGAAACGATGGACGCACTGGTGAGCGGTATGCGGATGAACCGGTGATGCGTGACTCGGTGTGAGCGTGGCTCCAGGGGGCCCGCTGAGCGCTCAGGGGCTTCTCTCAAGAAGACACCCTCCTGGGCTAAGCCATCTTCTCTGAGTTGTGGTTAACAGGTGAATTGAGCAAGGAACTGGTCCTAATCAAAGGGTTTCCCACTTCCTTGGTCCCCAGCAAGATGCAAACCCTGCCGTCCCTGCTGTGAGTGTCAAGAGGTTGGAGGCAATGAAGTACGACCTCCAGGGCTGGCCTGGCCCATAAAACCTTTCTACAGGATCCTGCATGGCCTTTCCCCTTGTTTACCATGTACACCAAGGATGTGGCACTCAGAGGGAAGGACAGTCACTGGACTGAGGAGTGTGGGTCACCAAACGGCTATGTGATCAGAACTCCCCACCCAATCAGCCCATCAGACTTAATGTGAATGAAAACATTTATTATGTTAAGCTGCTTAAATTTGGAGATCACCTGTTACCACAATTAGACTAATTACAGAATACTGCTTACATCTATGGCTCTGCCAGTTGAGGGCCAGTGTCCTTTACAACTTCATTTGACCAGCAAGTGTTTACTAAGCACCAGCCATGTAGTAACATCTTCCATCTCACAGGTCGGAGTCACAGAGCCTTCAGCTAGGGGGCTGCGGGACTGAGGACCATGGAAGTGGGCCATGGGGGCAAGACACACTGACAGCAAAACTGCACTGCCCCTTTCTGAGTATGACCCCTGGGACCCACAGTTTGGTTGGATAAATACTCACCTTGGCTCCTGGAGGCCCAGGTGATCCAGGTGGCCCTCGAGGACCCTGGGGAAATGAATGATAGAAGGACAACCATGGGACACAAATAAGCATCTGCCTGCCCCACATTAGCCATGAGGCGTGGCCCCTACTCTGTGGGTGCTGGAGATGGACGGAAGCCTCCCCATGGCCTGTCTTGTCCAAAGGAAACAACCTGTTTTCCAGCCACAAGTCCCTTGGGTGTGGATTCTGACAGCCACCCACCACCTCTGGGCGAGTTTGAGCAAATGCCGCCGTCTCGCTTAGCTTGCTTTCCCGCTTACAATCCTCATTGTGGAGGCTCCCCAGGTAGGGCCCGGCTGGGTTTCAGAGTCGGCCCCATCTGATCCCAAGGCCCGATGTCTTTCCCCCAAGAGCTGGGGGGACCGGTGAGCAAGGTCTTCGGTTGGGGGCTGATGGGTTTTGCCTGCTGCGGCCAGGACCAGAACCACAACCCTTCGGGGAAGCGCTGCCTGAGAGAGGAGAGTGCAGAGGGGACGGCCCAGCCCCTGTGGCCACAGCCAAGCTCCGCGGCTCTGGACAGTGGTTGCCGCTCTGGGCCTCCTACCCCCCATCTATAAACCGGGGTGAACAGCACTGCTACGGTCTAAGCGTGTGTGCGCCGTCGAAATTCCTGTTACGTGCCCATCCCCCATGAGATGGGAGGATGAGTGTCTTTATACCAGGGACCCCAGAGCCTCTGCTCCTCCACTGTGTGAGGACACGCGGGCAGTCTGCAACCCACAAAAATTCTGCACACAGCCGCCCAGCCGCCAGGACTGTGGGAAATAAATTTCTGTTGTTCATCAGCCACCATTTTATGGTGTCTTGTAGTATCCCAAATGGACTATAGCAAGTACTCAAAGTCTCATGGTGGTTGTGAAAATGCTACCCCAGTTAGTAGCATACATGCTCGCTGAGTGCCACATTCTAATGCTTTATGTCTATTTACTCCCTCCGTTCTTGGGAGGTACGTGCTAGCATCACTCACATTTCAGTATTAAAGGAAATTCACATTAGGATTAGAGATCAGGATTGAGACACAGAGAATTTGAGTCCTTTGTCCAAGGTCACACAGCGAGTTGTTCTGACTTGAACCTGGGTCTGTCTGTCCCTCTATGAGATCATGAGCTCTTGAGAGCGAGATGTCATGTTCCCCGCTGTCTTCAGCATTGAGCACAGTGCCTGGCTCAGAGTGGGCACTGGCACACTGAGGGAGATGGCATTCTTGGCCCCAGCTCCTCGCCCCCTTCCTATGAGAGCCTTATAAACATCCACCCACTGGCAATAGGCCTGCAAGACTTCTCCTGGGGAACCCACATGCCTGCCCCATTGACACCAAGCCTGGCCATGTGGCGTAGGCAATGGTACGTGAGCAGCACGGTGTGCAGGACGCACGGGCAGAACCTTTAAGAGTCACCGCGTGTCTCTACCACAAGAGCATGTCTCAGTCACGGGTTTTCCTCCAGCCTGGGGTCCAGAAAGAGCAGACAAGCAGGGCAGAGCCACAGTAGTCAACTCACAGCCATCAGTGTGTCACACAAGTGCCTTTTGTTAAGGGTCAAAAGCCATTAGGATTTCAGGGTTCTTTGTCACTGTGGCAAAACTTACTGATACATCTCACTTTACATTCAGGACATGCTGAAAAGTTTGCAAGTCCCCATGTACATGACACCCTCACATGCATGCAGTCTGTTTGCTGGAACACCCCTCCCTGGGCTATTCTCAGCTTTCACTTTTTGCATAAATGCCACCTCTTCCGTGAGGTTTTCCCTGCCTTCCCACTTGGACCCCAAAGCCCCTTCTCTGTGTGCATGCACATGACTGGCCGAGCTATGTTTATCTCTGTGTGTGTTTGTCCCTCACTAGATCATGAACATCTCAAGGTCACAGACTCTAACCCGTTCTGTGTCCCCAGCACCTGGGCCACGGTCTGCACCCAAGCGGTCCCTGACACCTTGGCCTGAAATACCCTAGAGCTGTTTGCCCAGCTATGGCTCAGTTTCTGCAAAGTTTGGCCAGTGAATCTTTTCTCCCCTCCATTTCCTTTTTGAATTTCAGCCTGGTTGTCACGGCACAGAAATCCGTGGACCCGACACTTACCGCCTCTCCATCTTCGCCCTTTCCAGGCGGCCCGGGGAGCCCAGGGGCGCCAGGATCTCCCCTGGGGCCAGCTGTTCCAGGGCGCCCTTCCTCGCCTGCTGCTCCCTGGAAAAAAAAGGAGGCAGTTTCCAGGATGAGTGGCATGCGGAGGGCGGGTAAGCTTTTCAGTGTGAGCCAGCCTCAAGGAGGTGGCAGGCTTCCTGGCGATGCCCTGACTGGTTCAGCAAGACCATCCCTTCCACGGGCACAGAAAGATGGGCTGTATAATGTATAGGGTGGACCGTGTCACCAAAACCAGTTGCGCTGAGGTCCTAAGCCCTGTACCTCCACATAGGAATCCAGGCTTTGCAGATGTAATCAGGGGAGTTAGGCTGAGGTCATGCTGGAGTAGAGTGGCCCCTAATCCAGCATGACCAGGGTCCTTATAGGAAGGGGACATTTGGACCCAGGTGAGCACAGAGGGAAGAGAGTGTGCAGACAGGGGGAGAAGGCATCACTGATCTCCACCAGGGAATCGGTTCTGGGACACACCCTTCCTCCAGGCCTTCAGGAGGAACCAGCCCTGCTGACACCCCGACCCAGGGCCTCCAGACAAGGGGAGGGCGGGGAAGGCCCCCCGTAGCTATGCTCATTACAGGAGCCTCAGCAAGGGCATTAATACAATGCAGAGCCTGGGAAGGGCAAGGACATAGTGGGTTCTAGTCCAACTTCCACCCAGGGCAGGAAGCCATCAGGTGTGTCTCTTACGGGAAGTCCTCCCGTCTCTGCTTGAACTCCTTCAAGAGCTGAGAGCTCACCACCTCCCTAGACTGCTCATTCCTTTGCTGGGTAAACCTACTACACATCCAGCCAAGACCTGGTCACACTGGAGTTGAGTGGCCCCTGATCTGAAGTGTTCCAGGCATTTGACACCCAAACCTGGAGTTCCGCAGGCCAAGTCTCAGGCCTCTTCCGAAGCGGGAAGGGGCCGGGTGTGGGAGCTCGCCAGGGACTCCGAGGCAGAGAGCTGGGCTCTGAGCAGCCCAGCAAATGCTCTCCCTTGCTCACCACGGGGGGTGCCTGCATGCGGCCCAGGCCTGGAGCATGGGCTTCCCTCTCCCAGACGAGGGCAGGCTCAGCTTCCCCAAACCTCAGGCCAGCGCGCTGGACTCAGAGACGCAAAGCACGCTGGTCGCACATTTCTCCCCCTTTGCAGAGCTCCCTTCCAAACACAGCGGGGGCCTTGGCCCTCTGCCCGGGCTTCTGATCGGGTGAGGCGGGGGCTTGGCTCCCCCTAGAGGGAGAATGTGATTATTCTCCTCTGTGCTTAACCGGATCCCCCAAACCGCTCGCACTGCGGCCACCCCTTCTCCGTGGTTATCAACGTCCTGCTTGTGAGGTGCACAAAACGTAGCCCAGCCCTTCAGACGTGGTATAATCATGGCACAGCAGAGGGACCAGAGTTCCTCCACCCCAGCTTAATCTGGTGGTCTACTTTTATTACTGCAGTCTAAGACAGTACTGTCTTTTTTTTTTTTTTAATGTAGCACTTAATGTCGAATAGGGGGTATTATTGAGTTTAAGTTCAACTAACACTCCAAAAACCCAAGATATTTTCCACAGGGTGGTTCATCATGTTTTTTCTATGAGGCATGTTTTAAAAGTGAGACTTCCCACCAAACTGCAAATGTTGCCATCTATTCCTGTTAAATTCTGCCAAAAAGACAATGATCGCTCCTTGAGAAGGTTCCAGGCAAAGTGGACTTGGAAGGATTCAGATTAAGAAGCTGAGGCACTTGTGTGCCAGGAAGGGGCCTCTGGGGAGGGTCTGGGGGAGCTGGCAGGACCCTGGGCACCTGCCCCAGATGTGAAACTGCCTGTGTGAGGGTACAGGGGCAGGGAGCCCCCATTGCCCTGCTGGCGAGTCAGTCCTTCAGCTGGTCCCTACAAACAGACCAACGTACCGCTGTCCCCACCTTACGGATGAGAAAATCCAGGTGCATAGAGGGGGCCTTACATCGAGGTCCCTCAGCCTCGGCACTGCCACCATTCTGGATGGACAGTGTGTGTTGAGGGGGGCTTTCCTGGGACTGAGATTTTTAGCGGAATCCCTGGTTGCTGCCCACTAGATGCCAGCGGCAGCCCCTCACCAGCAAACGTCAGAAGCAAGTCCTAAAACGCAAGGTCAGGGAAATGTGACCTGGGGCGTCAGAAGGCTGTGACCCTCCTCCTCTGCCCCTGGGTGTTGGTGTTTTGGGGGGACTCTGTGCCTCTCTTGGTCTTCACAAAGCACTTCCTTCTAGCTTGGGAAGTCTTATTGTGCACACAAAGGTGTGGAATAGATAAGCTTGTGCATGGAATTGAGAGAAAGCAGGATTTGGAGTCGGGAAGCCCTAGCTCTGCGGCGGCCGGCTGTGCGATGCAGGCCGCAGCCCGCAGCCTCCCGGGCCCACCTGCGCTCTGTCGGATGGGGACCTACCCGACTCACAGGGCTGTGCGGAGGGCCGAGTGAGGTGGTCGCCCTGCCTTTGCTTCCACCCACTGGGGACGTCGCCTCTGCCCCCGGGGCTCCTAAAGCAGCCTGAACAGCGTGGCTTCCTTTGTTCTTCTGAGGAAATTGAGACCAGAAGCCCTGTGCTGAGATGGCACTTACCTTCTCACCGCGCTCCCCCTCTTTCCCAGGGGGGCCTCTGCTGCCAGGGGCACCCTGAAAAAGATACGTGGTTGACGTGTGAAGTTCAAGATGGCCCCCACACCCGTGCACATCAGGCGCGGTCTGCCTGATGCTCTGCCCCGCCCCCCGGGCTGTCACTCTTGGAGGGACAAGGATGGCCTCAGAACACAGGCTTGGCATCAGGGGGCTGCCCCCCCACATCTGTCATCCCCCATGGACTGACTTTGGGATAGGGCTCAAGTCTCAGTGGTGCACAGACACCCCAGGAGGGAAGCGGAGGGTACCCAGGGACAGCACATTTGTACAACTGGAGCAGGGTCCTTCTGGGGGAGCCCATGGGGTGTGCCCTCCGAGGGGCTCCCCCAGGGTGAAGGGCAGGAGCACACTGTCGGCTCGGGGCTGCTTCGGGGTCTACTGGCCACATGCCAGGTGGCTGGACAGCTTGGTCTCCAGAAGCCAGGGGACACCCTCAGGCAAAGGCGAGCAGGGCTGGCACCTAGAAGCCGGGGGCACACACTCTGGTGGGTGGTGGCTTGAGGCAGGCAGCATCTGCGGCCACCACTGATGACGGGACTCAGCCCCCCTGTGCCCTAGTTTCCTCCTGTGTAGATGGAGGCAATAATAGCATTCCACCTCCCAGGGCTGTGAGAACTGAATGAATTAACAAGGGTAGAGCGCTTAGAACGGTGCTGGCGCATAACGAGTCCTCTAAACCATATGATCTCTATCTTAACGGCTGATGACCTCAGTCTATTTTAGGAGGATGGACTCTGTTGCACTTGACTGATGCCACTGGGTTTTTTATGGCTTAATGTTAAAGTTAAAATCAATGTCTACATTGGCTCAAAGCTCGTCCATTGTAGACACGTGGGGCCTGCCTGGGAGAGGCAGAATCTCAGCCCACCAGGTGCAGTGGGTGTCCAAGGTGGGCCAGCACGGCGCACACTCCCGGCTTTGGGGACGAAAAGCCAAGGCCTCCGGAGGGGCTTGCAGAGGCGTCCCGGCCAGTCAAGGGCAGAGCCGTGCTTGGAATCCCGGTGCCCTGACAGTCAGGGCCCCTGACTGCCTTGGGGTCATTTTCTTTCTTCTAAGGCAAACTCTGGCCGATTCCAACGTCACTGATGCTTGCAGGCTTTCTACAGTTCTACCAAGTCCACGGGCCGCCTGGAGGTCTCACGGGTCACCTAGCGTCCTAGGTTGGTTAATTGCTAGGTGACCTTGACTGGGACATCAATTTCTCCATCAGTGAAATGGGAGTAAGGACGCCCCCACCTCTGCATCTCCCGGAGGACAAGTTAGCAAGACAGGGGCATTGGGAGCCACATGCTGGGGTCCCTGCCCCACCCCCCCAGTTACTCACCGTGCTTCCAGGGGGGCCGCTGGGACCAGGAGTGCCCTGTTCAGAGGAAGAAGTTTACAAAGGCCTGATGGATCAGTGACGAATAGCTTTACCCCCCGTCTCTCTCCAGCCCTGCCCTCGGCTCACTTGGCCGTGATTTGCTGGGACTGCTTCTCACCTGAAGCTCCCCTCGTTTGGAGCACCTCAACTCGCTAACCTTCAAATCAGTGGGACCCTGGCACAGCGGTGGGCTGTGTGGGTGCTGGCTCTGACTGGAGAATCGGAGAATGCTTCTCAGGGGAAGTGGATCCGAACTCCACATTGACGGCTGGGCAAAGACTCCATGTGCCATGCGGGTGAGGACATTCCAGGTGGCAGCACCAGGGAGAGGGGGAGGCAGGGGGCCCTCGGTGGGCTGGAGGCTGAGTAGCTTCCTTCTAGGCCCCCTTGCGCACCCTCAGCCCCCGCTTCTCTCCAGCCCGCTCTGCCCAGGACTCTCTCCGCCAGCAGGAAGAGCCTGCCACCTGTCCCCTCCTCTGTGACATCCAGTAGGTCACTGCCCCTGGCCGGTCCCATGCCCACTCAGCCATATGATGGGCAGCTGGTACGCCCGGCCAGGCGTCCCAGGGACACCTGCCCGCTGCTGCAATTCCTCCACCCATCGCCGCCGCACCCTGCCTCCCGCGGGCTCCGCGGAGGAGCCGGAAGTCCAGCCGGGCCTGGGGAGCGAGTGCCAGCCCCACGGAGATCCAGGCCCAAGGGAGGCCCGGCAGGAGAAGCAGGCGCTCCCGGGGGCTGGAGAATGTGTGTCTGTGGATGTGAACACGGCCCGACCCAGACTGACTACTCATTGGCGAATGGGTGTTTGGGAGCGCGTCCGCGGGCGTCATCTGAGCACGTGTGCAAGGGGATTTCTTCCGTGGGCCGGGCTTGTGGAAGCCCTGAAATGCTGGGTGTTGCGGAGGACAGCCTGTCTCTCTTGGTCCCTGCTGCTCAAAGGCCCCCCGCCATCCCGGCCGGCTACTCCGGTGTGGACTGCGCTTTCTCAGCACCTTCCCTCCGGTTAGTCCAGAGCTGCGGGCCAAGGGCCAGCTGCCCAGCCTCCCTTCTGAGGGCCCCAGGGGGCAGGCAGGGTGCGAGGACTCACGGGGCTTCCGGCTGCTCCAGGGGCCCCGCGTGTGCCTTCCTGTCCCTTGGCACCCTGCACAGGAAATAAAAGGGAGAGAAGGCATCACAGGTAAAGCTGTCATCCCCATACAGGGACGTCTGGGGACGTCCAGAGACACCAGGCTCACCAAAAGCAGTTGATCTGAACTGACAGGACAGCGGCAGGTCTAGAGGTGCAGAGATCACAGGCCCCCAGCTTCCCCCGCAGGTGCTGGTATCTTACTCCATCTCACCACCCAGGACGCAGCTATCAACACGGACACTTCCATCTCTATGTCCGAGGGGCTCAGGGGAGCAGGTGCCTACGCAGCTGGTGGCCCCAGGGACTCTGAGCCTAGGCAGGTCACCCCCAGGGGGGACCCAAACGACTGCCCAGTAAAAAGGCACTTAAGAAGCCACAGTGAGAAAAGTAACAACAAAATAAAAATACTGATACACACTGGGTATCTTTTCACCCAGAGCTGCCAATCAGGGCGGGGAGGGTGGGGGGTCCTGTCACATATGGGAAGCTGTAGGGACCCCAACACCCATGGCTTGAGCTTGGCTGACAGATTGGAGCCCGAGTCAGAGAAGGCAAATCACACCAGCAGCTGAGTGCGCCCCACCCAGCACTTCAGGGGCAGCGATGACAGCCAGGGGTCTGGAGGCTGCCCCCAGGGGCTGCATTTTGGGGTGCTTCGTGAGGGCCCCTTGGGCCCCTGGGTGTCAAGCACCTGGGCAGAGCCCCTGGCGGGCAGCCCTGAAATGCCACATGAGGGGGCCTGCAGGGTGTGGAGGGGAAGAGCCTGGAGTGGCTGTCTGCCTCTCAGCGCAGCCGGGTAGAAAGCGGGTCTTCTTACCGGCGGTCCGGTGGGTCCCTGAGGCCCCAGTTCTCCAGGACGGCCCTGAGGTCCCTACAAGAAACCACCCATCAGCGAGTAGGTCATTGCCCCGTTCTTAGGTGGCGCTGTGTGTGGGCACAGGCAGTAGGGGTGATTTGAGGGCCGCAGACGGGTAATCCCTGGAGCCCTGAGGGAGGAGGAGGGGGCTGCGTTGGGTTTAGGGGGCTCACGTAGGTGGGCTGCGCAGTTCAGCTCTGTGGCTGCTCAGCCCTTGGACACCCGAGTCCCTCTCTAAACAGGGTGAGGGGCCAGGTTCGGGGTGCGGGGTGCAGGGTGCAGAGCGGAGGACACTCACCTGTTTGCCGGGCATGCCGGGGTCGCCCTTCTCTCCTCTTGGCCCCTGTTCTCCCTGTGGGGTGGGGAAGCAGAGTGGAGCAGAGGTGCTCCCCTGGCCGCAGACGCCTGGGCCCTCCAGTCCCTGGGCTGCGCCCGGCCCGGCCCCTTCCTTCCGGCTGCCCCGGGGCTCTCCCGGGTCCTACTCTTCCTTCCAGTTTATAGTCAAGAAACACTTCGCTGGGGAACCGGCCCCACACGGGCCAAGCCGCCCTCTCAGGGACTCACACAGCAGTGCTCCCCCCTCCAGGGTACCCACTAGGGTAGCAGTTTTGTGCTTGTCTAGTTTGGTTCCCGTCCCATCCAGCCCAGAGGCCAGCAGGGCTGGAGCATCGGTGCCTGTGATGGAAAGAATCCTGAGAGGTGGAAGGGCCTCTCCTGGCCGAGGAGCCCGGCCCCTTTCTTGTCTTGATGGAGAAACTGGGGCTTTGCTCCAGGGACCAGCCCTCTGGGCACAGACTGAGGATTGAACTCTGGACTCTGACGGCCTGAATCACGTGTGTAACTTTTACCAAAGAAGAGATGAGACACAGCCTGGAAAGGGGTGCCCTGTGTCTGGAGCGGCCCGGCCTGGAATATCTAACAGGGAGCAGAAGGTCATTCTCTTCATCTGCTGGTGTCACCTCTGGGGTTCCCAGCACGCCTCCTGGGAAGATTGTGGGGACAGGAGACCCTCTCCCTGCCCTTCCAGGTGACCCGGAGAAAGTGGCAGGTAGGAGGCTGCACCGAGGGCGGACCCAGAGGGCTTGTGCCTCCGTGTTTCCGCAGCCAAGAGCCATCGGGGGCGGGGGCCACGGGCAGTGGACCAGGTGGGGGCCCAGCGGGAGACCCAGGAAGCCTAGAGCCTTGGGCTCCAGGTCGCTGGCTGTATCACCTCAGGAAAGTATGTACCTGTAGTGGCCTCAGTGTGTGCACCTGCGACATGCACAGGTGGTTTCTGTGTCATATGGGGGAGGAGCCAGTGGCACAGAGAAGGTGCAGCAGAGATGAGCCCAAAGGGGAAGTCGGGGGGTCTGTGGAGCTCTCTGGGGAGAGCAGAGTAACAATCAAAGTAGGTGCAGCAGCCCTGCCTTGCCGTGGCCCTGTGCGGCTCTTTCTCCAGGAGTGGGACCTGGTGTTGTCCAAAAGGGCCACAGACTGCTTAGGGATCAGAGAGGCCCGCGGACAGACGAGATGTGCATTGGCTTTGAATGTACAAGGGAGTTCTGCATATAAGGGCATTTGAAAGCAAAGGCTTTGCAGACCAGGGGTCTGGGGAGGGCCCTAGAAGCACTTGGAAGGCATGTTCTAAAATGAGTTAGGGGCAGGCGCCCTAAATCTTTAGCTGGTGGAGAAGCCAGCACTGGCAGAGCCCTCTGTGGGTGTCCACGCCTGTGCCTCTGCACAGACAGCGGGTTCAGGTGCCCTGCCCCAGGGGCTCCTGCCGGCCCCTCCCCCAGTCAGTACCCGCACAGCCTGGCCACCGTCCCCACTCCTGCGTCAGCTGCTGCGTGTGCTCTGCACGGTCTACCTCGGAGAGTTGTGACCCGGCTTAAATGGAACTGCCTTTGCAAAGTGCTGCATGGCTGACACAGGAGGCGTCCACAGATGCCGATTCATTCCTTCTTCTAGAATCTTTGTTTCCAACCAGCTCAGAATACACTCTGGCTCCATTCACCAGAGTCAACAATACCTTTATTCCTAGCATGTTTTCCTCCTAGAAAATTTCCTGTAGTGGGGATTTGCAACACTCTTTGGCTACACAATCCATACAAAGGGCTGAGGGGCCTACCTCAGGGTGCTGGAAGAAGCTGTGGGGAGGGATTTTTGTCTTTTCTGCCGGCTGGGGAAGGGGTTGTGGGTGGAAGGCAGGCAGGCTCAGGACCCATGAGCGGTCTGGCCAGTCAGAGGAAGGATGCTGGGGACTCATAGGCAAGATGCTCAAGCCACTTCCCTGCAGGCCTGGGAGTCAGGGGGCAAAGGCTTTGCTATGGGGCACATAGTAGGTGCACATCAATGGCTGGCAAATGCATGAGACTGCAGGCTTCCTCCTCCTCTTGACTGCCCCCATAGTGACATCAGCCATGTCAACACTATTGCTGGGCTGTCATCTCCACAAACTCAGCAGGGCCGGGCATCCTGAAAGACTCCTTTGCAGGCTTGAGGGAGTGGAGTCAGGCCTCCCCAGAGCCTTCCCACGAAGGCTTCTGAACCACCTACTACCGCCCCAGGTACAAAACCTTTCTTGAGTTCTCAGTGGTAATTTCCCCAAGCCAGAGGCTGCCTGTCCCTCCTTCCTGCAGCTACGGAAGAGGTTCCCACTCTGATCTGACGTCTCCAGATCTGCACAGCGTCTAATGGCCCCACTTTGTTCCCCACGAGCTGCCATCCAGGCACCTCGAGGCCTCCCTAGGCGGGACCCGGCCATCCCCAGGAGACTTCTTGGGCCACCTGCCCTGTGTGCTGGGACCCAAAAGGCACGTGCCAGAGGAGAGCACGGAGCAACAGACAGAACACCTTTCAAAGCCACCAGCACAAATATGGTCACCGAGGCGACGAGGCCAGACCTGAGAGATCCATGCAATAAGCCACAATGAATCTTTTTTTTCCTCACAGACACAATCGCCTTGCTTTGCATCTGAAAGTGGCTTCTTGGTTCCTACACAGTTCAGACCCCACAGGGAGCTGTCACCTGGGGTCCAAAGGGGTGCCAGGCAGGCCCTCAGCTCCTGCTCATGTGCCTTCCCACTGCCTGCCTTGGAAGTCATCTTGTCTGGAGCGGTTCCTTTGAGGAGAAGCTGGGCGTGCAGGTCAGCCTCAAGCTGAGGGTCTTGGGGTCAGCCTGAGGGAGGGTGACCCAGAGGACAGAGGGGCAGGGAGGCGACACGTAAGTAGAGGTGGTCCCAGAAGAGGGAGACGCCAGGAAGTACGAGGCAGCCGCCACCTGGGTGAGCCCTGAACCTCAGCAGCGGGGGGGCCCCCCACTGGCCAGGGCCTGACAGCTGACAGCTGTCTCAGTTCCCACCTCCAAGGCAGGCGCTCTGCAAGCCCCTTGGTCTCTCTGAGCCACAAGCCTTCACCTGTGAAACGGGCCCATCTGGACTCCCTCAGGGATGGGCTGCCAGCACTGTGCCTGCTGTGGTGGGGGTGGGGGGGGGACAGGTGCTCACATGCTCTGTTCCTCTGAGTCCTTCTCTTGAGAGAAGAAGCCACACAATGAAGCCCCCAGACCTGTACTTTCCTGCAGGCATCTCCAACCCCGGGAGTCCCCCCTTCCCCGGGAGGGCTCGCCTCCTCACCACCTCGGCTCACCTCCGCCAGGAGCTCAGCACGAGCTCGGTCCCTCTCCCTGCTCCATTCTCTTCCACAATTTACAGGATTCCCTTTTGCTTTTTAAGTTGTATCTATTTAACACTGAATGCAGAAGGAACTCCTGAAATGTGGGTGTCGCCAAGCCTCTCTTGACCAAGTGGGTCAAGTCGAGCAACAGAGAAGGCACGTCCTGAGAACCAAAGAGACAACAAGGGCCCCTTCCCAGCCCCCGTGCTGCCGAGAGCACAAAGGACGGGAATCACCCACGGTCACAGAAGCTAGCACGCGCAGAGGAGGGCGTCCCCGGAGGCTGCCTGCCTGGAGTGCACTTGTCACCCAGCGCTTCGGTGTTTGCGGGAAGCCGCGGCCGCATCCCGAGGCCAGCTGGCCCCGCCCCTCTGCACTGTCCTGGACCTGGCTCCCCTCAAGGCCCTCCAGCCTCTGGCCTTGCGGTCCCCTCTCTGCCCACGTGCCCCGCAACAGCCTCTCTCTGCTCTCTAATCGTCTGCCGTCGCACGACTCTGCTCTCCTCCACACCAGCAGAAACCCCTCGTGCAATGAGGCACCGAGTTTCCCAGAAGGGAGGTCGGGCTTTTGCCCCCAGCTCCTGGGAGGTGACCACTGGGCCTCTGGAGCATCCTGCCGGACACTGGAGCCGGTTCCTTGCAGGCCCGTTCCCACCGGCTCCGGGACAAGGCCTGGAGGCCCAGATGCCCGGCAGTGACGCGCACGGTGGGGCTGAGAGTCGGAGCCCAGCCCGCCCGGCCCCCAGAGCATGCAGGGGTGTCACAGGCCGGGCTGAGGGCACGAAGCCACACCGACGGGCCCCTCTACTTACTGGCATTCTCGGGTGTGGTGTGAACAGGGAGGTCTGAAAAGGAAACCACAGAAATGATTATTTTAGTAGTCATATTGCTAGTGTCTAATTCGACAATTAGAACCCTGCGTTTCCTTAGAGTCCTGGAGCCCTTCTTGAGGGAGGGCAGGAGGGCACCGGGTTAGAGTGCTCACACCCCACCTCAGCCTGGGTGGCCTTGGACATCTGTCAGCTGTTAGGTCCTCTTTGGTAAAATGAGGATGAACTGGCCTCCATTCAGAGTGTGGTAGGGCCGACATGGGACAATCTGTGGAGGTGAGCAGAGCCCAGGGCCCTGGGTCCCCCCATCAGGGTCTCCTTTCCACTGGGAGTATCTACTGCTCATGCAAGAAAGGAGCCACGGGTGAGAGCCCAGCTTTTGGGGTGTGCAGACCCCCAGGGCTGGCTCCCACGTGGCTGGCCAGCCTCACAACACCCATGCAGCCAGGGTCAAGCCTTCTCCGGCCTCACACTCTGTACCTGCTGGTCCTGCTGCAGGGCCACGCACACCCTCCCCCCTTTACCTGCTGCAGCGAGGCCTGCCCTTGGGGGCACTTAGATGTCATGTCCTCGAGAGCCCTTCCCACTCCAGCACCCAAATGTCACCTAGGCCCCTTGTTGCTGTGCTACCTGCATCCCATTCTTTTCCTTGAGAGCATTTACTGTAATTTAATGTATGTTTGTCTGGGCCACTGTGCCAGTGCCTGGCTCACAGCTGGTGCTCAGAAAAAAACAATGATGGGACAAAGGGACATTGTGTACGCTGCCCAAAAACACAATGAATTCAGAATGCAAGGGAAGGACTGAAGTTTCCTATACCTTACCCTCCGCTTTCCCAGTCCCAGCCTCTTCCTTGGAAGAAAACACTGTTTTTTAGTTTAGCATATTTTGGGACCCTTTTCTATGTATTTCCACACAATTATGAATGTATAGGAATATATAACTTTGCATGAGAATTACACAAATAGTAACAGCAAGCACACTGTTATTTACAGTTGTTTATATTTATTAACACCCCTCTTCTTCATGGTGACCCTAAGAGGCAGGTGGTCTGGTTTGGCCCTGCTTTACGGAGAAGAGCAGGGGAGCAAACTGCCCAGCGACCCCCACAGCTAGTGAGCGGTGGGGTGGGGTCCACCAGGCCCGTAGGCTGCAGAGCCCGTGTTCCTGGCCTTTGCACACACATTTACAAATTAGTTTCTCCACTTGATTTTTAAAATTTATCTTTTCATATACATAGTGTGGGTGCTTATTTTTATAAACAAAATTTCCATGATGTGGGTATTTTGTGGTTTACTTAATTCCAAATAACAGCATCCATTTTCCTGCCTACTTGCCAACATTACCTTGTTACCAGTCTTAAGAATTTTGTAAGACCAGTTTGACTGTAAATGTGGTTCTGGGATTCTCCCAGTGCCCTCGTGGGATGGCTGAGTCTTACTTTGATGGGCATGTGTGTGGAGGAGGTTGAGCTGTGGAATGACTGACGGACATAAGAACCACACGGTAAGATTCTCTGCTGCGCTGCCCGTGGGTGTCTGGGGTCCAGGCTCTTATCTCCTGGCTGCCCTGCTTTGGCCAGTGGTTGACCCGTCCCTGCTTGCCCAGGATGGTCAGCAGCTGGGCCGTGTTCAACTTCCCTGAAATCGACTGATCAGAGCCCAGAATATCAAGGCTGAGAAGAAACATTAAAATGAAAAAAAAAAACCCAAAATGCTGTCCATATTTATATGCTGTTTTGTTTTTATTTAGTATTTATTTTGTACCAGAAACTGTACTATGTACCTTATATTATTTAAGCTAATTTTCACTACAAATGTACAAGATAGGCTGGTATAATATTTTTTCTTAGTAGATGAGAAGACCAATCTTTCTGAAATTCAGTGACATGTCTGAGGCCACAGGGCTGGTGAACGACAGGGCTGGAACCGAACACACTGTGTCCGGCCCCGAAGCCCGTGCTCTCACTCGCCCCTCAGCGCTGACTCTCGGGCCTGTGCTCGCACTGCCCCCGCGGAAGCACGGCGAGGGCCGCACTGCAGTCCTGCGCTGGACAAACCGCCCCTTGTCTCCGGACCTCAGCTTCCCCAAGGGTAACGGGTGGGTATGTGCTCTGTGTCCGGCCAGGGTGCTGATAAATAGCAATTTTGCTTGCTGAAAAAAATGTCAGCAGCACAGGATGGTTCTTAGAGACGCTTTTGTGTTTTTTCATTACAAGACCTAGGAACAGGTCTAGCACCTGGCACCCTCAACCAGTATCTTCACAATGAGGCGGGGGTTGTGGGGGGCATCCTACTGTCTTAGGGGTTTAAAACAGAGTAACTTACTGTTCCAGGTAAGCCAGGGGGTCCTGCTGGGCCAGCTTCACCCTAGATGATGAAATGGGAAACAAATGCCATTAGTCGTCCTGCCAACTCGCTTGTCCTGGGACACCTTTCCCATGTAACAAAATACCTCTCTTTGATAGAGGGATATACAGAGAAATACAGAAGATAGATGGATTCCAAATTATAATATATTTAAGACAGACAACCTTGTGTTTTGGAAGTATCTACGCTGCTTTGCGTAGCCATAGATCATCTGTATCCCTATATACGATTCCACTGTGCATATGGAAATAAAGTGACCCCTTATCCGTCTTCCGGTTGATGACATTTAGGTTGTTTGCCCCTTGCTGCAGCTGTAAGGAGGGAGTGAGCAAACACCCCCCTGCCCTCCAGCCCAGGGGTGTCTGTCCCCTTAGGGACTGCCCTGGGCCCACCCCAGCCCTCCTGAAGGGGACTGGCTGGGCTTGCTGAGTAAAATGAATCAGTAAGCACACGGTGGTGAGAGAAGCTGACGTGTTTTTGGATTATAAGAGTTCGGTATGGGCCTGGCACCTGGTAAACTCTAACAAGGCGCTTATGACGAGGTGGGGGTGGGTGAGCGTCCCGCCGCTTAGGGATTTACAGGAGGAAAAAGGAGTAGCAGTCTGAGTGGACGGCACTACATCCCTGCAGACGCCAGCCTTGAGAGCTGAGTCACGGGAGCTGGAGACCTACCTCTGTGGTTCATGCATTAGCCTAACTCTTTGGGCTTGTTTCCCTCTTTGCAAAGTAATGGCCACGGTTCACACGGCTCACGGCCTCATGAGGGAACTGAGACCATCTTCAGCAGGCGGCCGATAAGGAGGAGATGGTCATCACATTGGCCCTGAGGAAAGCAGGTCCCTGGGTGGCTCCGTGCAGGAGGACCCTCCGTGAGCAAATGTGGTCCCCAAAGCCTGCCCTTCCCCAGGTGCCACAATGAAGTCAGGCCAAGGGTGCCTACTCAGATGTGTCTCAGCAGCCCAGGGTGAGGTCCACTGTAGGACCTCCACATGTGGTTCTTAGGGGACAAAGGAATGAATGAAGTTGGCTTAGAGAGGGCCAGGCCGCTCCCAGTGATCAACCATAATACAATGCAAAACACTTCTATTGTTTTCTATCTTATTTCTGCTGTATGTAGTATCTAATCCTAGGTACTGGCTTATATTTTTTATGTATTAACTCATTTAATGTCCATGGAAATGCCTGTTGCATAGATACTTAAGTATTTCCATTTCATAGACGAGAACCCGAAGCATAGTATCATTTGTCCGTTTGTCTGCCCAAATGGCTGAGCCTGGTTTTAAACCCAGAATCCAAGCCCTCACTGCTGTGAGGCAGTGCCCTGAGAGAAGTTCCAGAAGCTTTGGAAAGAAAGACACATTCTCAGTGTTACTTGCATTACCGGATTTTGCCGGGGTCTCTCTCTAAGCTGCTGACTGCGTGCCCAGATCCAATCTCACCCAAACCAACCTACCCGACGTTAAAAAGTCCACACGATGCAGCTTCCCCACAGTGGACTGTGTGGCTGGCTGCCCGCTGGAGGAGGATGATGGCCGAGGGCCCAGGGATGGCGACCCCCTCCCCCCCAAGCACCGTGGGGCAGGGAAGGAACCCCGACAGGCGGGCAGGGCCCTGCTGGCTCCGACTCACAGAGAGTGTGTCTGAGGGGCCCGAGAGCGCGGGGCTCAGCGGGCAGGCCTGGCCTCACGCCCGGCTCCTCCACGCGCAGGTCAGCTCTCGGGGGCTGAGAAGGGGCACTCACAGCCTGCTTCCGGATGCCAGGGGGCTTAGGAGCTCCGAGTGGGTGGTGGGGGGACGCGGGTGGGAAGCCAGAGGCAGGGCTGTGCCAGGCGGTCGGAGGGGACGGTGTGGCCTTACTATCCCCTTTTGGATTTGTGGACCCGAATTTTCTATTATTACATGTTTCTCTGGAGGAAGAGAAGGGCAGGCCAAGTCCTTTGGAAGCTGGAATGTGATTCTGCCGCGATTGCGGCAGTTCCGTGAAAGCAGTAAAAGGGGTCCCACAGAGCCTCAGCATCCTGGAAACGAGTTTCTCAAATAAAAATTGCGTTTCTGAGAAGCCCGTGAAAGCAGCAGCCCTCAGCTCACCCACGTGGAGCCCTCAGCCCTCAGCCCGAGGCAGGCGGGTGGGGGCCCCCCACGGGCCCCGAAAGCACAGGGCGAGTGGAGGGTGGGCTCTGCAGGGAAGGCATGCAGACCTGGGGGAGGGAGCCCCCGGCAGGGCCGGTGGGCCCTCGGGGTGTGCCCCCTGCTCAGGCACCCGAGGGACTGCACTGCTGGAAGCCTGGACCCCGGGCCCGCTGTGGGGTCCCGCGCTCGTTCCCTGCAGCCCTGGGAAGGCGGGCTGCTTTTCCGCGCCTCCGCTTCCTCATCTGTGAAGGGGTGCTGCCGATCACATGAGCCCCCTGGGGCTGTCCTGAGGATCGCCAGTCACCCCTCACAGAGAGCCCCCGAGGAGGGGTCAGCAGAGCCCTGTTCAGGTGGGAAGCCCGGGCAGAGGGAGGCCAGGGAAGCCAGGAAGGCATTGGAGCAGGGACAGGTCGGGCCGGGAGCCCACCCGGGGCCGCCACCGCGACTCCGAGCGCCGTGCCCCCACCAACGCTCTGCGGGCCACGCGCAGAGGCCCAGAGGGAGGCCTGCAGCCCAGCGCCGGTGACCTGGGTGACAGCAGCTCCTACCTTGTCACCTCGGTCGCCTTTCGGTCCCAGGAGGCCCCGTTCACCTCTCTCCCCCTGCAGCAAATAACAACATTAGAAAACCCCACAGCCCAACTGAGTGCGAGCCCGTGCCATCGGGTGCGAGTGCAGGGCCCTCGGCAAGGGCCTTTCCCTCCCGCGGCCGCTCTGCCCAGTGTCCTGCCCGAGGGAAGCCCCCGCCCTTCCCATCAGTCCCCGTCTGGACTTGCTCCACATGTTCACAGAGATCTTTCCGCCACTGTCCTTTGGTTGCAGCGCAGGGACCCAAGCCACCCAGTCCCCTCACTTTTCTTTTCCACAGATCCTGGGAAATATCCTCAAACCCCAACCAAGATCACCCACGGCTGCCAAGAGACCAAGGTCAAAGCACCTTCCCAGGGGCACCAGCCCAGCAGCAGGGGTGTGGAGACCTGCCGCCACTCACCTGCTCTCCCCTCTCGCCCCTCACGCCCGGGGGTCCTGGTGTGCCTGGGAGGCCTGCCTCCCCCTGTGGAAGTGACGTGTGCATGGGTCAGCCTGGGCCCCCGCCCTCTCCTTCCTGATCTCTGGCCCTCCAGAGCTCCCCGGCCCCGCGGAGGTGATGCAGAAAGCAAAGTAGTGGAGAAAGGGGAAATTTTGAGAACCCTGTCACTGGAATGTCCCCAAGCTCTGCCTCAAGTCAGCCGTCCCCTCTCCCATGAACCCCTTTGGCGCTCTAGGTGCCTAACTCTCATTCTTTGGGATTCTGCCACGGCACCTCCTCGCCGTCTCCCCCGGCAGCCCCTGCATCTGAGTGAGGGGCCCTCTCCTGTGCCCTCCCACCCACCCCGCATGTCACCTCACTGCACCTATTCAAATGCTCTTGGTTCGTGGTTGTGACCCCAGTGCCCAGCACAACAATGGGTGTAGGGGACATGCGGGTAATTATTGCCACAAGGCCTGGCGTGTAATGAGTGTTTGCACTGAGTGACAGGGGTATGAACAAACACACCTTCTCTCCAGGTCGGCCTGCCAGGCCCTGCTCCCCAACTTCACCCTGGAGACAGAAAACAGACTCCCTTAGCTTCCACTGTCACTCACAGGGACGGCGGGCAGCCCTCCCGGGCCCACGTTTCCCCAGCACCCAGCAGCCATGACTCTGGATTCTCCAGCACGCAGCACGGTCGCAGCCCAAGACACAGGCTGTCTGTGCAAACCAAAGTGTTTGGCGTTTCTGGAGAGAGGGGTTCTGGACCCGCTCCCTCATGTTGTGTTTCACTGCCCACAAAAGAAATGACTTCTGGAACTGCCCTGGCAGATTTATGCAGGCTGAATGCTTTTGTCCTGAATCCACATGTTTATGATTCAAAACGATGAGGAGCCCCAGCTCTGGGTCCTGCTGTGCTGGGTCTGAGGATGAGAGGGAGGCTGGCGACAGACACGCCCAGGCTGACGGGCTGTCCCCAGCTGGTCAGCCTCTTGGTGAATACAGCAGCTCCCTGGTTCAAAGCAGCTGAGCGCCCTACTTCGCCTCTCCCAGGGCATGTCACGGGAAAGGCGAGTCCTGGGTGAGATGCCATTAAACACGCAAACTCATCTGGGGAAGCAAGCCCCAGCAGGCGTACACTGGTTCTCGTAGACCGGGTCAAGTTCTGTCCTCAGCCCCTGGGGTCTGACAAGCATTCTGTGGTCAGGTTGAAGTTGGGGACACAGGACCAGAGGAGCTTGGTCTCCGATGCCAGGGCCTCAGGCTGCTGTGCTTACCGGGTCCCTACAAATCACCAATCAAAGGGTGTGTGTGATGGTGACACAGAGGGACTCAGATTTCTAACCAGCCACGCATCTTGAGAATCCCAAACTTCTTGGGCGACAATTCCTTTCTACCATCCATTATGCTACTTGGTAGAACCTTTGTGTAGATTTGCATAAGGAAATGTGATTTTCTAATAAATAGACACATGAATGAATGAAAAAAATGAATGAATGAGTGGGTATGCATGCACAAAATGGCTTTCCCTGCAGCTATGCCAGACTCAGTTGCTAGTGAGGGCCAGCACCGCCACCACTTATTAGAGAGGAAGTTAGGGAAAAATAAAATTTAAAAAGCATTGTTTAACATTAAGCAATTAAGCAGACCTTTTATACATTTTACCCTGTGCTCCAGGAGCCCCGGGGAACTGGCAACGGAGTCAGCACACACAGAATTCTAGGTGCACTCCGCTTGCCCCACCAATTCCCAGCATTCACAAGGACAGTTCCTAAGAACTGCTCTAGCCAGAATTGTGCAAATGCTTGCCATTCAAACTGTCGCTTTAAATCTGCGAGGATGGTAACACCTTTGCAATGGGAATTGCTTCTTACCTGCTGAGAAAGGCGCCACGAGGCTGAGTTAGCTTAGAAAGCATTTTTGAACACTATCTGAAGTGCCTCCTGCTGGGAACCCTAATGGAAAGCACAGGGGACGGAGGGCCAGGCAGCATCTTGAATTCTCCATGTGAGCCCGAAAGGTTGTTCCCTGAGCGGACTCATGAGCCACCATCCATGACTTGTCCCTTATCTTATTGGAAGATTTTAATCTTCATTTGGCATTTTGTCAACATAGAGTATCAAGACCCTAGGCCAGGTCCCTGCTGAGGCTACAAAATATGTTGCAAAAGCATCATAACTGCAGAAGTTGTTTTGAACTTTCTACAGAAATGTCTTAACATACTGCCCCAGAAATGGCACAAACTGACACCTGTGACCTGTGGCAGCAAACAACTCTGCCTCTCTCAGCTGTTCCTGTTACCAGGAATATAAAACACATGGATGAGAGACTGAAGAAACCCCCAGGACTCCTTCAACTTCCTAAGGGCCCACGGGCTGGGCATCAGCCCTTCACTGCCAGCAGGGATCTGAGTCGTGCCTGCCGGAAGGGCAGGGTCACCACTGAGCTGAGCCCAGGCCACCGCTGAGCTCTAGCTGGGCTGAGCAATGTCCACCTTCTGCCCAGGAAACCCTTTCTGAGCACCCTTTCCACCAAGTGCCCGACCCGACAGGGGGCTGGGAGCGGACAGCAGAGGTGACCAGGTCACTACCTTTAACTAGCTCATCACCCAGGGAGCGCAGGGCGCTGTGGGTGCAGGAGGGGCTGCCCTCCCCATGTGTCTCCTGCCTGGCCGCAGACTACCCTCGGGCCACAGGCACCACATATGCACACACACACCGCATACACATGGCACAAAGCACACACACCTCACATACATACGCACCACCCACACACAGCCTGGCCCTCTCTCCTGAGCTCGCTGCAGCCTAGGCCAAATCTGAGATGATGAGGTGAGGGTCTCAAGGCAAATGAGACCCCGCAGCCCTCGGGAAAGGCCCACAGAGAAGGAGTGGTTCCTGGAGGAGCTGGGGCTCCCAGGGATGGCCATGCACAGCCTGCACCCGGGGTCCCATCCCCGCAGGAGGGGGCCATGCACAGTGGCCTCCGCCTCCTGCTCAGACCCACTCCCATGCTTCTGCACCCGCTGGAGCCCTGAGGCTGTGCTGGACAGACAGCGTCCCTGGGCTTGCTGTGGGGCTGGCCGCAGGGAGCCCTGGAGGGAGGTCAAAGCCAGCTGGACCTGGTGGGTGCTTGTTCCCCTTGCTGCCCCCCTGCCAGCCAGCCCAGCTGGTAAAGACATCCTTCTTCCCAAGGCACAGCTCCGGGGGCCCTGTCCTCCCGCTGCAGGCCACCCCAGCAGCACACTGCCCCCGACTCCTTCTGTCCTCGCAGTGGTGGGCTCTCCCTGGACGCCAGTTCCGTGGTGCATCCCCCTCCCAGACGGCGCCCCGCCCCTGCTCCCGCCCCTTCAGACAGCCCTGGTCAAGGGCGCTGGCTGCCTGCCACGGAGGCCGAGTCTGTGCTAGCAACACGCGACCCCAAACACACATCTACGACAAATGTGGGGGGAAGGAGGCAGGGGGAGCCATACCCTGAGGCCAGGTTTCCCGGGCAGACCATCTTCTCCTCTTCCTCCAGGCCCACGCTCTCCCTGGAAGGCAGGCAAAGAACAGTCACCAGGAGAGGGCCGGCCCTGCAGGGACACCCTCAGCTCTACTTTCAGGCCGGCAGGGACGAGCCCTACGGATACTCAGGCGGGGTTCACCTCCTTGAATTCTGTGTGGTCACGGTGACCCAAAACAGCAGCTCACCCCACCTCTCAGAGTCCACATTCGATGGCTCGACTTTTGGTTTATTTTATAAAAACATAATTGAGTAGAAATGGTACTCTTTTCTTACTGTGAGATTTAAAGTAAGGAAGATGCTGCGTAAGTGTTTTCGAGAGTACTAAGGACTTGGTTAGCGCTTATCTTTTGTCTTGAAAGATAAGGAAGAAGAATGGAGAACATGTGCACTAAATACCCATAAAAATTAAGTTAAATCCATACTTATTCTGTATTTTGGCATGGGAGAGTTGAGTGTGTAAGTAACCTACTGGAAAGGATGACAGATTTTCCCAAATATTGCAAAGTTGCCTTTCCAAGGCTATTGACGTGTATACTTGAGCATATATGTATTTGCTATAAAAGAATAAAAAGTTCATTTGTTAAAATGCTTATTGCATGGCTCCATAATCATTCAAACGCAGTGTGTGGCCCATGAGTTCGCCTCCCTAACTTCATGATATCTAACCTCTGACTCTCCCTCAATGATCCTACTGTGATGAGCCCCATCAGAATATTTTAAAAATAGAAGTCTCTCATGTTAGTAAGAGTATTTAAAAGCTTTTCCTCCATGCAAATAAAGTAAAATACATATTTCTAACAAATTAATTTTTAAGTCCAAGGCTTCCAAGCCCTCCCCCGATTACCTAACTAGAAACAAAGAAGTTGCCCATCTCTGACCTTGTAAATCCAAGCATTTCCAAGTCCTGGTCCAGAACCCAGGCAATCAGTGTAGGTTAGAATTCAGCAGCAATCAAAAATCTCTTTTCTTCTGTACTTTAGGTCCCCAAACTCATGCCGCCCCTGGGAATACCAACCTTGGGTCCTGGCAGGCCCGGGGGTCCATTCGGCCCGTCCTTTCCAGGTGGCCCCTGGACCAAGAGGAAAAAACAGACCAAAATGAAAGGCATATTTAAGGAGGCTGTGCATCAAGGTGCTTCTAGCCAGGAGCTGGCTGTGCACCCAGGCGTGCGTTCTCTCCTCAGGGGACCTGGAGGGGTGGGGCTTTCCCAGCACATCTATTGTGGGGGAGATGGCCATCCCCCCGGCCAGTGTCCGCTCCCCAGCGGCCCTGGCCTTGCGTGGTGGGTGAGAGGACGGGCCGGTCCGACGGTCATCTGTGTCCCCAGCATCCACCAGCCCCTGGGGAGAGTGCTGTCAGCCGCAGTCCCTCTCTCTCCCCTCCACATCTCTTTGCCACCATTTTTGCCCTTCCTGCTGCTATCAACCTTCCTATTGCCCTTCATAAGTGCAAAACGTCAATCTAGTGGTTTGGCGTTAACTGAGTCTGCCTTTTATTTCTACTGACGGGCATGCAGGAGCTCCACATGCTGTTTTTCAATCCAGGGGCTCCCTCCCCAGAACCTCATGCCGTGGGAAGGAAGGTGCAGCAGATGAGGGGACAAAGGCTTTGAAAGGCTGAGTGGTGTCATCTTGGTCCCACAGCTGGTGAGGGGGCCCAACAGCGTTTAAGCTGGGCCGTGTGGCTCCACCATCCCCTACCCCCAGGTCTCTTTCTCTCCCACTTTTATCTGTGCCTTACAGGATCCGTCAGACAAACACAAACACTCCGGGTGGCCTATTGAGAGGAGAGCCCCACCTCCCCAAGCAGGGGTCCTGGAGGGGAAGGAGGAAGGCCTTGGGTGGGAGGTGAAGGACACTTGGGTCCAGGCAAGCATGGTCTTGATGAAGGGCAGACGCCAAGCTAGAAGCCACCCTGAAACCTGCAGTGGCCTCATAAACCCTAAAAACCGTAAGTGCTTTGACTATTTTCTTGTTCCTGCAATACTGCCCCTCTTCTGAGTGTTTACTGACATACATACTGTTTGGTGAATCCGTTAGATAGGCTGAGATTGCTAACGTGTTTGAGCTTTCAGATGGCGCTATCACTCCAGTGAACTGTTTGCACATGACTCTGCAGATGACTGTGTGTGCAAGGGGTTCCAAGTCCCCGGAGAGTGGCTCCGTTCCCCCGGTAGTGCACACAGCACACTGAATTCACATTGGCTGACCTTCGGTTCTCATAGAGTTTGAAGGCTGTATCCCAGCAACCACGGTTGTCTCCTGGGTACCTCCATACTCAGTCAGCGGGTCTGTGGTCCAGCGACAAGAGCGGACGACCGCTGTGTGCGCCGCAATATGGCCGCCCTCCACCCGCATCTTTCTCCTGTGTCTGGACCTCCCACCACAGCTGTGGGCCTCCTAAGCCTCCCTGCACCTTGGCCTTCCCCACCCACTGGCCTTGCAGGGGAACTTGTAAGGAAGTCCCTCAAAGTGGAACAGAGGCCTCGCTGAGGGCCCCCAACGGGTCTATGACGGCCCATAACGGTCACCTGATATCAGAGGCTCACAGGTCACCCCCGCCACCCTGCCCCTGAGGAGCTACAGGCCAACGTGGCAGGAGACACGCTCTGCTTTGCTCCCACACCTGTTATGTGGCAAGACCTTAGGGTTTGCTGAGCCCATGCTCAGGACTTAAAAAACGAGGAGGCCCTGAATCCCTAGAATCTTTTTGTTTGGGAGAGCTTTGCCTGGTCCATACTGCGGTCACCCTCTGCCTGTAACCCTCACGGACAAGAAGTTGCCCGTTAAACCATAGGGGACTCTGGAATCTGCCTTTGGGCGACCAGAGCAGAGGGGGAGGCTGGCGAGAGGGTGCACAGTCCGCACCCAGGCGCCGCCGCTGGGGGCAGACCCGGGAGATGCAGCACATGGAGGCTGCCGCCGAAGGGAGAAGTCGGGCTGAGTGCCGAGGCCTGGTCCCCGCCGCCCGGAAGGAGGGCCTGGAGCCGGTGGCTCTGGAAGCGGCCCAGCGGAAGGGCCTGGCCACTCCACAGACCAGTGGGACGGGAGAGTGCAGGGAAGGGGTGCGCCGGGACACTTACCGCCTGCCCCGGGTGCCCAGCTTTTCCCGGGAAGCCGATCTCGCCAGGCAAGCCCTGGGAAGGCAACCACACAGGAAGTGTCAGTCTGGCCTCTCTGGGGCTTCAGAGGCAGACGCACCTCGGGGGCACTGGGCGCCCTTAGTGCCCAGCCACTGTGAAAGGCAGGGCTGTCCCACCTCTACTGTTGGCAAGTGCAGGACTGTCTGGTCTGCGCCAAGGTCACCATGGCACAGCGTGCCTGGTTTGCTGAAGATGTGGTGGGTCTACCACCTCCACGCAAACGGGCACCTTCTCAGCTGCCCCTGAGGCAGGAGGGGAACGCTGGCCAGTGCCTCGCCTGGCCCTCCGTGTGCTCCAGAGCCAGACCACACGGGCAGTCCCAGCCTGACATGCCTCCTGGGCTCATCTCTGGAAGCAGCCAGCCAGGGCGCCACAGGTTCTCCAGGGGCACTTCTAATCTGAGGGCCCAAGGCTTGGGGGCAGCAGGCAGGTCCTCCTGTCTACACCCCTGCCCTGACCTTGGGTAAACAGGTGGCCACCCGGGAAGATGTTCCTGCCTCCCGTGGGCCCGGAAACCTCCATCTAAGCGCCCTTGTGGAGAAAATCAAAGCCCATCTTACCGGGGGGCCTCTGGGTCCAGGGGTGCCTGGGATGCCAGGGGGTCCTGGAGGGCCCTGTAGGGAAAGAGTGGTGTGGGTCACAGATGAATGTGGAGCAGCCTCATGGGGGCGCTGTCCCTTGAGGGAGGAGGAGGGAAGGGGACACATGACGGGGCGGGGGGGCTTCAGCTTTATTTGTAAGGCCTTACTTTTTAAACAAAACGGGAAAAAGCAAAATGAAAAGAACTGAAGTAAAGTTCACAAAATGTTGATGTGTCACATTTGGGTGAGGAGTATATAACTATGATCTATTCTGCTATATATTTGGAATGTTCCGCCGTTTAAGATAAGCCCATATGTACGTGCATGCGTGTGCACACACACGCGGTGGACACGCAGATCCCGCGGCACAGGGGCTCCCGGCACCCGGCGGCGTCGGGTCGCCCAGGGTGAGTGTCGCGGTCCCAGGCCCCGGATCCTTTGACCGCAGGTCTGCGCGGGGCCGAGAGTCGGCGCTTGTCCAAGCCCTCCCCGCGGCTCCTGACGTTACTCTCGGCGTCCAGTCCCAACCCCGACGCTTCTGGGCGCCTCCCTGGCCGAGAAGGGGAGCAGGCACCGCGGCGGGGCAGGCCTGCCGGTCCTGACCGAGGGGAAGGGCTGGCAGGGGCGAGGCGCGGGGCGGAGGACTCTGCTGGGAACGTCCGGAGGGCAGGAGCCGTCGCGCAAATCCCGGGCTCCGGGGAGGGGAGGGGAGGGCAGGGCAGCGCCCGGGGCTCCGGACGGCTGGAGCTCCTGACGCCCCGCCCAGCCCCCCGCCTTGGGACAGCCAGGCACCGCAGACAAGAACCTTCTGCGCCCCGTTCCTAAGTACACTGTTCTCGCTCTGCCGCCCGGCCTGCCCAGCGTCCCCCGTCCCTTGCCCTGCGCCCCGCTGGTGGGGGTGTGGGTCCCAGGGGACTCCCTTAGCCTTCGCCCGCTCAGGCCTCTCCCCAGAGATGCCCGAGGCCGCCTGCCTCCACGGGGACGCCTGCGCCTCTGAAGTTTCCCCTAATTCTGCAGGCAGAACAAACCACTCCTTCACGCCCAGGGCCTGGGTAACGGTGCCCATCTGACCCACAGGCCCTGGAGGTGCCCACCCCAGAGCTTGGCAAAGAGAGGTGCTCAAGAAATGTTTGAAGAAGTCAAGGAAACCCAACAGACGCGAGGGGACCGGCCACAGAGGACGGTGTCGCGCCACCACTGGGGGGCGGCAGATGCTAAGACACGGTCGCGGCCGCACTTCCGTGGCCGCCCTTCCTCTGGGGACGTCCGTGGGTCAACGATAGGCGGAAAAAGGGCCTTCTGTTGGATTCGGGGTGGCACCTGGGCTAGTTTTCCCTGTAGCTTGCTCAGCCCTGGCGCGTCTTTGGGGAAAGCATTCACTTTCGTCGGGAGATACTTGTTTGCAGCTGCAGCAGCTGAGGGGCCCCCGGGCAGAGCCGGACGGGGCCCAGGCAGGGCCCAGGGCAGGCCGCCCCCCCAACAGATGGCGGCTGGGGGAGAGAACGGCAGGCCACGTCTTGCTCTCTAGCTCAGCTCTGCCCACCTGTCGGCAGAGCAGGACCCACCCCCCAAGGGGTGCTCCGGGCCACCTGCCCATAACCTCAGCCGCCTCCGAGCTTCTCGCAGGGGGCCCGACCGCGTGGAGCACCTCCGAGGCCCCCTCTCCTCGCATGCGACCTTCTGCTAGCAACCCGTGCGTCCCGTTTCCTCCCTCCTCACGCTGCCAGTGACTCTGAGGGCCTTGGCAACGTCTTGTGCTCTTTCAAAGCGACGGTGCAGGAAGCCGGCCCCCTGGCCAGCTCGTCCTCGGACTTGGCTTCTCTGTCCTCCTTTACCTCGTGCCGACGCCCCTGCAGGCTGCAGCTGTCTGCTTGTTCCCGAGCCGCACAGCAGCTCAGGCTCGACAGACCTTTAGTGATCATCACAGGGTTTGACCATAATGAACACTGAGGCCCAGAGATGCTAAGTGCCCACCTTAGGTCACACAGCCACCATCTCCAGCGGATCCTGAATGGTCTGGCCTCTGCAGAATTATCTGAAAAGCTTGTCACAAATACGGAACCCAGGCCCTTGTTCGGACTCTGGGGCGCAGGTCTGGGACAGGTCCAGGGGCCGGTGACTTTGGGAACACTCCCCAGGTGCTTCTGAAGAGCTGTCTGATCTGGGCATCACCTACCTGGGCTGACCGCACAGACCCCCCTCACCTGGTGACATTACAAGAGCAGTGAGACAAGAAGGGACCCATGGGAGGAGGGGGCGGAAACAGGCGGACAAGGGCGAGGGGAGCAGCCACCCCCTACGCCAGGTCTCCCCCGCCCTGTGCCCGACACGTGATCATATCTCAGCCCTCTTGCTGATCCTGGGAGGCAGGTCTCCTCCATCCCGTGTCAGAGATGAAGAACTGAGCTTGGAGGAAAATGAACTGATACCAGACAAAGCCGGCATTCAGACGCAGTGCCCCTGGAACGGTCACCTGCCAGGCGTCTGTGAGCTCAGGGACCTGAGTCCCACTCACTGTCACAGGGCCCCCCCACCCCCGAGCAGGGTGCTCTCCTAAAGCTGTGCTACACGGGGCTAGAACTGAGGGCTTTCGGTACAGGCTTGATAAGCTCCATGCCCTCAGCAGGACCCACAGCGCCCAGTTCACCGCTATGCACGCAGGAGGGGTTTAATGATGATCTGCTTGTTGGATGCCATGAGCTCAGGAACAGGAGCAAAATCCTGCATGGTGATGAAACCCAACCACCACAGTAGCTGTACGAGGATGGGGTGGCGCCGGAAGTGGGACCAGCTTCAGAGAAAGTCCAGCAAACAGCTCTGGCAGGCGCCACGCAAGGGAGTGGGGGGCCTGCGGCCTCCTTCCCGATTGCCAGGCGTGTTGCCAGGGCAGGCGGAGACACGTGGGGGAAGAGGAGACAGCACTCAGGATGCAGTTTCCGCCAGCCGGCCCTGGGCTGCCCTCCACTCCGAGGGCCTCCCTGACAGCCACGCAGGGACACGTGCAGGCAGCAGCCGCTCTGTCCGTGGGAGGTTCCGGGGTCCACCTTCTGGAAGGCTGTGCCTGCCTCCCCCCACTGCCAGATGCCTGTGCAGAGGGGACATCGGAGGCGACGGCAACACGGATGGTTTCTGATACTGCCTCTGGCAGGTGGGGGGAGAGGAGCCGGCCAGGAGTGGGGCCCGGGAGGACCCGGACACGGGGGCCCCTCAGCCTACACACAGCATGGCCATTTATACCACAGAGGATTCCCAACAGGAAAGGAGGGAAAAAACTAAAGCACCTACTGTGTGCCTGGCCTCTCTGAGGCCTGCACACATATGGCCCCAAGAGCCCTGGACAGAGCCCGTCCACACAGGTCTCTCCACTTCCTCACCACTGTCTCTGTGCGGCACTGAGTCTCAGCCCCCAGCCTGGCACACTGCCACCCTCAGTAAGTACTCGGATCATCACGTGCCACTTTGAAGATGACCAGGCACTTCCTCGCTTCAGGAAACCCAAGTGGGAGTTTATGTCTGATCGTCACAGAATTTCTGAGCAAAGCCAGAATTTCCTGTCTGCTACTTTAGCATTGGAATGAAAGATTGTTAATTAGACGTGTATTTTAAACTAAAACTGCTTGGCTATTAATGTCTTTATTAGTGGTAGTAATAATGGCGTACAGAGATGATGAAATAGGCTCTTGGTTTCAGATGGCCTGGGTCAAATGCTAGGTGAGCTCCTGCTACCTGAACAGGCTCAGGCGATGGCCTTCAGCGCCCCAGGCCTCGGTATCCCCAACTCTAACAGAAAGGTGGGGACCCCTCGTCACGTCACGTGGGTTGGTGCAGGTGTGGGAACGAGCCCACATGCGGGTGATTCTCACAGATGTTGTTTCGCCCTCTTCTCTTTTTGTCATTAATAAAAATAGCTAAATAACCAAATAATCTAATTAATGAGAGTGACAAATTAGCTAATAGATTTAAATGTTAACAAAACAATGACTGCTTTAATTATTACAAATAAACAACTAGGTAATAACTACTTATGAATTAACCAGTCTAATTATTATTAATGAAACAGGATCATTCTAATTGTAGGGTGACTAAACAGCTACTTAATGTGCTCAGCAATTACAATGATGATGCATAAATAACCAATTAACCTAATTATCATTAATAAAGGAATGGCAAATAGTTATTTCTAATAACCACCTAGTTCCACCTGGAGTAGATTTATGAGGTTGGATGGAATTGGAGGTGCATGAGAATGACTTGCGTACATTAGCACGGCAACCACATTCCCTGAGCCACGCAGAGTGGAGGTGTCTGATCTGGGGGGAAGTCATCCGTAATTGGTGAGTCCTCCCCTCAGGATGTGGTTCCCAGGGGCACAGCCAGGGCAACTGCCCACCTCAGTAGGTTTCTGTGTGGAATCCCAGGCCTGCTGGCCCACCCAGCCCTCTCTGGGGCCAGCCCTCCCCGGGCTGTGTGCACCCCAGTTCAGGGCACTTCCGCCTGTCCTGGATGCAGCCAAGCCACAGCACCTTTGCAAACCCTTGACTAGAGGAGAAGATGCAGATGTCCGTCTTTCCAGCAAGGTTGCCAGGATACAGGAGTCACTGCGTGTAACATCACACGTGTGTGTGTTTATTCTAAAACATTCCAGCAGGTGAAACTTCTCATCTTAAAGAAGAGGCACTGAAAGCATGCCACTGGGTGCCGGCTGCCCTGGGGCTTTGTGCTCCTAGGCTGCAGTGTGGCCCAATCCATTTCACATAAAGCTAACCAGACTCTGAGCTCAGTTTAGACTTTAAATGGGATAAGCATTCTTTTCCTATAGGCGGCAATAAAGAGGAGACACGAGTACATAGGAGCCCTAGAGAGAGAGTGTCAGGCAGCAGCAGGGACTAGGCACATGCACCTCCCTTCCCTCTCCTCATCGGAGCAAAGGACTCTGTAACATAGATTCTGGTGCGACAGAATCAACCTTGATCTTCCAGATCAGCAGAGGGGCCACTTCTGGGCCCTGAGGGAGGCTGCGCACCCCCATCCCAGAAGGAGGGCTCTGACTACCCGCTCCCAGAGTCAGCTCGCTGGACTGTCCTTCTCTGTCCGCGTCTCTTCCTGCTGCACCAACTCACAGATCCTCCAGGCATGGCCCAAACTGCCCAGGGTTCACATCCCCTTTCAGATTTAGGGCTGGATCTGACACAGTGGGCACTTTAATAAATATCTGTTGAATGAATGAATCGATCAAGCAATGAACAAATGAACCAATGCATGGTTGCATGGGGGGACCATGGCCAGGCCCAGGAAAGGCAGAATGCAGCTGCGTCAGGAAGAAAGATCAGAGGAGGTGGGCCCAGGCCCCGCGTAGCAACACTGCCCCTGAGGCTGGGCGCGGCTGGCTTCAAGCCACTCGGTGTCCCTGGGGTTGTGATCCGTCCCAGGGTGCCAGGTAGCGCACACTATCAACTCTACATTGCCTGGATCTGAACGCTGAGATCCCTGAATCTGCCACAGTGACCTGTTTCTGGCAAAATCCCTGACATGAAAAGCCTGAGCATATTATATGTACAACATGCAGCTCAATGCCTGGCATTCAGTAATGAGTCGCTGAATGAAATGGATTTCAAAATGAAAATTAAAAAAGAAATATATTTTCCAAGGTAGTAAAAGAGTGCCATAAGGGGAAAAATACTGTAGCTTAAGGTATTTTGATGGAGCCGCATTTATGGTGGATTTTTGGAATACACAAGCTTTGCTCACTGGAAAGCAAGGTAATAAAACAAATGCAAAAAGCACTGTATTTCTCGCTATTAACACCGAAATGCCACAGTGAATGCGGACTCTCTAGAAGGCTGAAACATGGTTGATTTTACATTCCCTTATTCCGTGCTCCACCCAATCCGGGAGGCACTGGAATGGAGTCTGAGACCCGGTGAGCGGCCCCAGTCACCAGGGCACTTGACGCATGGGTGAGCAGCAAGCTGGTTTGGGAAGCGCGGCCTACGGAAGGGGTGGCTGCTGCCATGGAGACGGAGCTGTCCCTTACAGGTGGCGGCCAACGCCCACCGCTTCAGCAGCTCAGGGAGGAGCCAGATGGGGGCCCCCACCACTGACCAGCCCACCTGCTCGGTCCCACCCCCAGGAGAACAGGGACAGGCCCCCCCAGGGCTCACTGCCTCGGGGGCCTCATCACCTGAGTCCATCCGCACTCTCCTCTTCAGCCTATAGTATTGCCCCCTCCTCCTTTTACTTCTATCGGTATTTTTAACAGTTGATGAAACTGAAATTAAAGGTTAAGCAACTTGTCCATGAGGCCCCACCGGAAGGTAGGGAGGCGGGGGTTTGAACCCGGGTCTCTCTGACTCCAGAGCAGCCGACTGCGCTCCCGCTCCCGGCTGCTGTGGCTTCCCAGGGACCCGTCCACTGCGGGGAGGCTGGAACAGGGGAAAGGCTAGGGGCCCTCGGATGCAGGAGGTAAAGGGAGAAAGAAGGTAAGTCTGGGCACCCATGGGCGCCAGGGCCCAGGCACCGGCCTGCTGTGTCCCCACTGAGGTGGGGCTACAGAGCCGACGGGTGAGGGCCCGGTCCCTGGGGAGGGAGGGAGTGCCTGCTTAGCAGCCCTGCCGGCAGCCCTGAGGGCATCTCTGCATTTGGGGGTCTCGGCCCCCCAACTGTGAAAACAGGGACAGTGACCCTGAGCCTGTCCAGTGGGCAGAGTGGGTGTGGGGGTCCACAGGGGCCTGTGGTGACTGCACATGGGGGGCTGTGTGGTGGCGGGGAGCTGGACAGGGCACGGGCTACAGGAGGTCACCCAGAGCTGAGCCTGATGGACGTGGTGGTCGGGGGGAGGAGGGGAGCACCCAGGGGGCGAGACTGCCCCCCACGGAGGCACAGACTGCGCCTGGGGCCCGACCCTGTCATTCACAGGCGGGCAAAGGGGGGTCCAGAGAGAGGAGGCTCTCAGCTCGCGTCCCAGGTGTTGGAAATCAGATGAGGACAGAACCCCTGTGTAGGGGCTCCTGGAGGAGTGGCTGCCTGTTTGGGTGTTCAGGTCCCTTGGCCACGCCCCGTCCAACTCCGAGTCCATCGCCCAGGCCCCCTGCCGAGACTGACACGCCAGCAGAGCCGTCCACCCCCGCCACGGACCCTGCTGGGGAGGCCCCTCCTCCTGCCTCAGCCTGGCAGGCTGCTCGCCCTCAAGGACCCCTCGTCCTCTGCGCCCTCCGCGTGCCCCCACCAGCTCCTCTCCTAACATCGCTCATCACTCTAGTCGCCACTCAGTTCCTCCAAGGAGCAAACAGTGGCCTCTCTGCCAGCACGGGGCAGGAGAGGCGGAGCAACACGGACGGGAAGCCAGCGGTCCGCTGGGCGCCCTGTCTGATGCCCTGAGGAGGCGCCTGCACCGGCCTCTGGTGACCAGCCTGGGAATCGCTGCCTGAACACGTCTGTGATCAGGGGCAGCAGGGGCGAGGGGGAAAGATTTAAAGGTAGTAGTTACCTGCAGCCCGAGCAATCCAGGGGTCCCAGGTGGGCCCACTTCACCTTTCTTCCCCTGGGGGCGAAAGAAGAAGCGAAAATTAGGAGGCAGGGAGACAGCGCCCGGAGCCAGGCTGACAACATGTCTTGGTGGAAATTTCAGTCTTCATCTCTCAAAGCCCCTGGTGAGCAGCCTGCTGCCCACCCGGACGCCCTCCAGAGAAGCGGTGTGGGGCCGGAGAGAGACTCAGGCGGTGGGGTCGGGACGATCCTGGCTCTGTAACTCAGATGATTCTGGTAACACATGGCCCCAAATGCAAAAGGTACAGAAAGGTGAACCTGAGAAAAATCTCCTCCTACCCCAGTGCTCAGCGTGGAGAACCCAGTCCCCTTCCTTGGAAGTAACTAATTTAGCCAAATATTGGTTAATCTGCCTATGTGTAGGCATGCACACGTATGCACATACATGCCCATGCATGCACACACCCGTCCTTCCTTCCTTCCGTACTTCAAGAGCATTCAGTACATGCTGAGCCCAGGAAGCAGTCCCTAGGCCTCTGCCACCCACAACCACCCAGGACCCCCCCGGGTCCCCCAGGACCTCCTGTGAGCAGCCTCCCCGGGTGCACTGTTACCCAATACTGAGCGCTCACACCTCCACGCCCGAAACCACCTCCCAGAGGCCCTCGCAGGTTCTTAGTTACGTGGCTTTCCTAGAGGCTCGGGGGTTTGGCAGCTGCACGGGAGAGAGCCTGGCTGAGCTGGGAGGACATGTTCCCTGAGGAGCTTCAGGTTCTAAGTCCCAAGACCCTTACAGGTTCACCTTAGCCGGCTGGGGTGAAGGGGGAGATGCGGTCGGGCTGCTTTCTCCTGCTTCTTCCCCCACACATGCCACCCTTGCCATGCCAGTCCTGGGGACACCGGTGGGGCTAAGCCATGGCTTCTCTGGGAAAGGGCTCCCAGTGTCCCAGGGAGGCAGACGGGAGCCTGGTCTCCGTGGCGCAGCCTATACACGTGGCATGGAGGGTGTGCACGTGGCACTGGGGCCACATAGGTCTGCCTCCAGGTCTTGGTGGGGCTTCAGAAGTGGGGTGCTGAGGGAACACTGGAAGGAAGAGGGAGAGCTTCCAGGGGAAACTAGGTGTAGGGGCGGGACAGGCGGGTGGTCAGAGACAGAGAGGGGCAGGACAGAGGCAAAGCCTCTGTGCCACCCAGGTGGAGGGATTAGGGCTGGGCGGGCAGACGAGGTCCACAGGGAGTCACCAAGGGCGGAGCGCCCTGCGCCCAGGGCAGCCACCCCAGAGGCCAAGGGTTTGAGCGGCCACACAGCACGCTCTGCTGTGACTTGGTTCTGGGGGTGTGGTGGGGCTAATCGGGCCGGCTCTCAATCTCCGACCTGAGCTGCCCAGCAGGCCTGCCCCCAGCTACCCCCTCCTGGAGCTGTGCACGGGCCTCCCAGACAGCTGCCCTCCCTCACGTGTGGCCCACACACTTCCCTCTCCCCCAAAAGGAGCCAGCCTTAGAGTCTTACAACACAAATCAGGTCGTATCTTCTCTGCTCAAAAAGCTGCAAAACTTCTCAGCTCAGAGCGAAGTGCAGTAGCCTCAGGTCTTCCTTCCCTGACCGCATCCTGCTACCCGCTTCCCCATGTCCTGTACTCCTTGTCTCATTCCAGCCATGCTGGCCTCCCTGCCCACCTTGAACAGGACAAACACGTTCCTACTTCAAGGCTTCCCACTGGTCTTTCTTTCTGCCTAGAATACTCCCTCCCAAGTATCCACACGGACCAACCCCCCAAATCAGTGTGGTCTCTGCTCGAACACCCTCTTCTGGCCAGCCTAAGTAGAGCTGCCCCTCCTCTGTCACACGGTGTCCCCTCCCTGCTGTGTTTTGCTTTGGGTCACTCCCAGACACACTGCTGATTTCCTGCCTGTCTATCCCAACTGGGGCGCAAGCCTCCTGAAAACAGCACCTGTTTCTGTTTTTGTTCTGCTATATCCATATGGGCCCAGAACAGTGCCTGCCACGTGGTGGAAATTCAAAGCACACTTGTGGGCTGGATAAATAAGTGGCCTCTTTGAGGCTGATGTGGTCCTGAGCCGTGACAACGGCAGGGGAAATATCAGTGGGCTGCTGGATGGAAGTGGTGTCAGGAATGTCAGGGAGACGCACTCGGCGATCTGCTGACTTCAGAGGGGGGCCTGGGGGGACTTAGAACCCGCTGGATCCACAGCCCCTGAGCCATGGCACAGAGCAGCTGAGAGGCGCAACAAGGTCTAGGTCAGCAGGAGTTTTTCAACATCTGGCAGGTAAAATTCAAAATGTGGTTACAGATACCTTCAGAAATGAGCCAAGTCCGGGAGGCACTTGGTCTCTGCGTCTGTCTGGTCCTGCTCTGATCAATGCAAACATTAGAGATCTGATCACCAGAAGGCTGAGTCGCCAGCTCCCCTGCTTTGGGGAATGAAAACCAGACACCTTCAATTTTCTATCCAGACCGATGTCCCCTCCACTTGTTTCTAGGTTATTCCACAGAGAGCTACCTGTTATTTGTAAGATGAAGAAACCATTTTCCCACAAGGTCAGTGCAATGGCCTGGTGAATAGTCATCAGAATTCAGAACCCAGGCCAGCAAAGTAACTGTGTTTAGAGGAAGAGCTGAAATGAAAGACTGAAACATTTAATGGTTGGTAGGAAAGGATCGGAAGGAATGAGAAGGGAGGTGAAGGCCTGGGCTCTGCTTGAGCAGAATTACCAGCTGAAATGCCAACTGGGACCGCAGCTCAGTTTCCCCACAGGACCCACCACGTCGAGGGGTGCAGGAGGCTTCAGCAGCTCCCTGACTGAAGTTCCCGAGTTTGGAGAGCTTGTGCAATGCTGTCACTAGTGATCAGGAATACCTAAGATGGCATGAAATCTGCAGATGGTGCGGAGTCAGAGGTGCTCCATGTCGGGGAAGCCAAAAAAGTGATCTGGAGAGATGGCGGGCAGGCCAAGGAGCGTGACGAGAAAGGAGGAGGGCAAAGAAATGCCCTGGAGAAGCAAATCCCCAAGTGCTAGGTCTTCAGCAAGAAGGTTGCGAGTGGCTAGAGGAGAAAAAGAAATGTGCGCATGGCATTCTCTACCCCCCAAAAGGCAGAACTTCCATGGGTTGTCCATGAAGGGGCAGCACCCAGAGAAACATCGGGGCTCCCCTCTCTGCCCAGCTCCAGCACCTGCGTTCATGTCTTCTCCACCCACAGCGTCCGCAGCTGCCCCCAGGGCAAGTCAAAGCCTCACTCCCCACTTCTCCCTCCTGCTCCCTGTCTTTCTGCATCCGCACCCCACCCTTCCTTCCGCCACAGCCGCAGAGCCAACCCTGTTCTCATGCCCAGTCCCTTGCCTGGAGACATTTCTGGGCCAGCTTGTGCCTACTCCTTGTCTGTACCAATACCCGGTGCCCTTTCTGAAGGGCTAAAGTTCTGCCCAGATTTCTTTCCACCTCTGAAGGGTCGGAGGCTGCCTCCTCACCTATAAGGCGCCACATGGGAGCTGGTGTCCTCAGAGGCTGACAGACCCTGAGGCTCTCACCTGCCTTTTCAGGTGGGCACCCGGTCCTGTGCTGCCAACTGGGCTGTGCAACTGGGCTGCAAACACCTCACCAGGACTTCTGTCCTCTGAGACTCTGCCCGCACTGCCACCTCTGTCTGTCACACCCATGCTCCATCTCAACTTGTCAAAATCGCATCCCCATGCAGTGCCACTTCCTCCATGAAGGCCCAGCAGTAAAGAGAAATAGTGGCAAAATATGAGAACAGCACATTTGGTATTAGATTCCCTGGTGCTGCCCAAAGGTGAATGAGTCAGAATTACCAGGGATGGGGCACAAAGCTCCAGGTGAGCGGTTACGAGGGGCTGGCCCCTCCCTGCAGTCAAAGGAATTAGAATTCCCTCTCTCTTTTCCTCTTTCCTTTACAATATCTTAGAGCTCTAAATCTAAGGTAGACAACTAGCCACTTAATATGCGGAGACTTAGTTTCCGCATGTGGAAAATGATACTCATTTTAATTACCTGAAAAATAGTAGTAGAAGAAATACTTCAATATTTGAGGAAGTGATTTATACAGCATCAGAAAGCATTATGCAAATGCAACAGGTAATTATGAGAATGAGGAGGAAGATGATGGTGACTATGATGAAGAAGAAATGGTAATAACAGGATGCTGGCACCTTTGAGTACCGGTAGTGGATGAGAGACCATATGTCAAACAGATCTGGTCTCAAAACTACTACTTCCCAGCAGTGCCATGGAGATTAAATGAGATAATGCTCAGCACAGGACCTGATGTTCGGAAATGGGTGTTAGTGGTGGTGGTGGTGGTGGTCAAGGTGGTGGTCAAGGTGGTGTTCTGTAAGTGGTAGATGTAGCAGCAGATGTAACCTCTACATTTTGGACCTATAATTGGCTGCAGGGATTTGAGAAGAGCTGATGAGGGCATTTTGCAGCAATAAAGAATTGTTTTAGTAACAATAAGCCTGATCTTGTTATTTTTATTTTCTTCTCCTTAAAATTGCTATCCAACACAATATCTGGATAAGTGTTTATATTCTATCATGAGGGCAGATTTTCAAGCCATTCTGAATGGCAGGACGCTGAGCAGGACTGGTATTTCCAGGGCTGCCTGTCTGCCCGCAGAGAAAAGGAAGCCAGCACTCCCTTCGCAGCCAGGATGAGTTGGCACAGCCGCTCGTGCGGGCCCATTAAGAGATGCAAGGATTGGGTGTGCAAGTGGCTGTAATGTGTGCCCTATGGTCTTTTGCTCAATTCCTGTTTGCCATGCCTCCAAATGTCAAAGAGGATTATTTTCTACTGGTTGGAGCTGAAACCAGGTGCTCAGGGAAAGCTGAGGGTGCTCTGATCTAAACCCTGGCTCCGCGCCATGAAATGAATCAAGCAGGAGGCTGCGATCCAAACAGCGCTGTTCCCACCTGGCCGAGCAGGGAAGAGCAAGGGGAAAGGCTTTGAAATTGAGAAGGAAAACGAGTCCAACCCAGGTTGCCACGGATGAAAGACCACCCACGTTTCTCTTCTTGAA